GTTCCTAGTTGTTAAAGAAAGAGTTCAGAGTGGACATGTGTCTATAGAGCACATCGGAACAAACTCCATGGTTACGGATCCGCTTACTAAGGGATTGCCGCCAAGGTCTTTCATGAGTTCACCGCTCATATGGGTGTTGTATCTCTTGAGGATATGTAGTTTTAGTGGGAGTTTGTGCTTTAGTTACTTTTCAGATTTAAACACGTGTTATGGTAAACTTCAGATATGGTTTATGGATATTTTGGTTATTTTCAGTTATAAAGTATTTGGTTTATTTTGTCTCTGAACTTGCTTGAAATTGATCTCACTAAGGTATAAGGTTGGACCAGTTAGAAATGGGCATGCTTAGATCACGTTGCATGTAACTTCCATGCTACACATCCATGCTTGATCCATGTCGTTCGGTTATATCGGCATGCGTGACCATTGATGGGCTTAGTTATGATAAATGTAGCGAAAGCCGTTTTGATCTTATGTTGATATGATTGATGAACCATATTGTTTGGGACTGTGTTCAGTAATGATAGCAAAATTCCGAGTACTCATAAGGTTATTTTTAATGCACAATTATAAGGTGACACATATAGCCCAAGTGAGAGATTGTTAGGTTTTAATTGACCATGTGGGCTTATATGTTTAATTATTGTGTATTAAAGGCTATCATATTAGGTTGAGCCCATATTTAAAGTGATCTAATAAGGTTTTAAGTATTTTGAGTTTTAATGCATCTAATTAAGTATGAGCCATTAAGTATGAGCCTTTTATGTGTAGAGACCAAATCATTATTTTTATTTTTATGATGGGCTAAATTAGAAATAATGAAAGTTAATAAGCAGTTAACTTATATACAGTTATGGCTCTCAAATCACACGTACATTTCATTCTATTCTGACATCCCATCATCAGAGAGCATAGAGAGAATCCAAGGAAAACTCTAAGGACTACATGTAAATTTGGAAGACTAACTGCAAGACTTGTGATACTTTCATCATGACTGATTCAGGTATATATTTCCACTTTAGATCATAAATTTTTGGTGATACAACATAAACGATGTGGTATTTAGTGATGATTTTCACTATTAAAGTAATTTACTAACCGTACAAATGTATTGTTTTTTATCCACAAGAAGGGTATAATTAAATTACCCTATAAGCATTTCAAAACTCTTATTAATATTGTGTCAATTCTCAAGACAATTTTGGCAAAGTAATTATTAATGCATGGCATATATATTTAGGACACGTACGCAACAAAGTTCAGGAACTTTTTTGCTGAATTTGACGAATTATTATTATTTTTTGTATAAAAGTACATGGATTTATTAATCTCTGGTTAAGATATATATGCTTTTTTTTTTGTTGATAATATCTCCTGACTGATTAAGATGGTTACCTATCGTAATCATACACAAGAAAGGACTACGTGTTTACACATGGGATGTTTTCTATTAAGGGGATATTTGGTACCTAAATTCGTTCTTGATTCGAATCATAATTCGTGATTCGTTACAATATTTTTTCTCATAAAAAATACACATAAATAAAAAATAATTCTAATCACATAATTCTAATCTATGAACCAAACATCTCTTAAAACTTTCAATCCAATATTATTCTTAGTTGACTTCAATGATCTTAAAAATTAATAAAAAGTTCATTAAAAAAAAACCACACGTATATCACTTGAAATTCCTAAACTAACGTAATTTATTAACGATAAGTTTACAGTCACGTTTTGGTTAAGCAAAGCAACACCCCTTTTTCTGCCAATTGGATCTTTATTTATTCATTAAAATAGTCTCATTACGTGGTCGAAATTGCTAGATAATCTGGCTCAATTAAACTCTTATTAATACATGATACATGATTAATATCAAAATAATTGAATGTAACGACTTGCAAATTATCTTCAATTATTCTAACATAATAATTAGAGATTGCAACACGTGTTCGATCTTTCAAGGAACATAAATTACGCTTGAAAACATCACCAATTAAGTAGGCAATAAAAAAATTGAGATTATGAAAAACAAATAGAAGTTCATACTTCTGATAAATCTATTGTTATAATTAAGCAAAGTCTCCACTTTTTCTCCGTTTTGTTTGAGTATAAAACACCAAACGAAGACAAACTATTGAATTTTACAACTTATGTTAGAGAAAAATAATGATTTTTGGAATCAAATTATAGTATGACAATAGCCGTTAATTTATTAAAGTGGTGCTTTAGAAATTATCATATTATTCCCACAACATTTCATGGCTCAGACCAGACTTTGTTACCTGTCCCATTGTTGGCTCATATTCATGAATGATTCTATTCGACAATTTTGGGAGAGGGATAATTGGAGTAAATAGGATAAGGCTTGTTCCGTTTTACTAATGGATTTCTGAATTTTTCTATAAACGAACAGAAGAGAGGATGAAATGATACTAATAATTGTTTTTTAAAAAAAAAAATGGTATAGATTAAAAGAGCTCAGAATATATATATATATATATATATATATATATATATTAAGAAGAGTAGAACAACAAACACATCTTTCATTATGTCAATCTTTTATTACTTTAGGGCAAATATGTTAGTTTATTGTTATGCTTGACGTAGGAATTATGGAATTAATGGGGTAATGGAAGGAAAATATGGAACAAACTCGGATAACAATGATTTGCATTGCTGCTTTACTTCTTAGATTTTATCAGTTCTTTTATAAGTTTAGAAAAACTCTCCTCCAAAAACATAAATAAAAAAAATGAAAATACAATCAAAATGAGAGACAAGTCAAAAAGTAAATATTATTTAGAAAAAAAAAAATTATCCTAAGGTGTCACTCGTTATTGTGGGGTATTGGCCACCTAATTACATTACTTCTACACCTTTATCAAAAAAGAAAAAAGAAAAAGAATTGTAAGCTTTTTTAATCATACATAAGTCTTATTTTTGTCAAATAAAGGGAAGTAAGAAAATAAAAGAAAAATCACAAGTGGCTTTTTTTGCTGAGAAAGAAAAAAAAAATCACAAAGTGCCTAAAGCAAAGAAAGAAAGTCCGTGGTCGGTTGCACTAAAGGGAACGTGCCGGGCCGAAGCCTTCCCGGACCCATTGGACCAGCGCTTCAGGATCCTGGTACGATCCCCATGAGTAACGGTCACTTATGTAACCGTTAAGATGATGATGCCAATTTTATTAATATTCAAATACTTTCCCCTGTTGCTTACTCACCAAATAATAATAATCATGACAATAATAATAATAATAATAATTGTTGGTGAATTGTATTCAAATTTGTTCCGGTTTTTGACAGCCAAACAGCCATCATGCGATGTGAAGACTCACATGTTCCTACATAAGACATTGCCTGAAATAGCATAGCATCCCTTACCCTATCTTTTTCATTTTCTTAAAATGTTTGTGATCATTTGAAGGAAAAGGAGACAAAAACCTCTCAAACGGTATAGATTTAGGGCCCGTTCATTTTACCGATTCGAGTTCAGAATTCGAGTTTTATTACAGTAAAAAGCTCTCAGGAACAGTCACATTTAACTTTTTTATTACAATAAAAAACTCTCACATAAAGTCACATCTCAACTCGAATTAAAAACTCAAATCAGCGAACTAAACGGACACAAGATTTTTATTTTTTATTTCTTATTAATATTATTTTTAATTAAATGACTATATTAGTTAAAAAGTTATTAATCAAGAATAATGAGTAAAAATTTAAATCCATACACTCTAAGAATGAGCTCAACAATTTTCTCTTTCAAGCCAAATAGGCAGCTATCAAAACTATGGCTGATATAACTCCTCTAGCTAAGTATGTATGAAACTAATACCATTGTGTTATTAATGTCATGAGAATCTCCATGATCTGTTGCATTTCAAATTCTTTTATGTAGTAGCTGTCAGTTTAAAACGATTTAAGAAGAAAATTCAAATTTCAAACATTAGTACTAATCTCAATTAAGAGTAAAGTAAATATGGATTTGGTGAAAAACAAAAGGTTACAAGATTTTTCATACAACTCATAAAACTGAATATTGCTAACTGTCTCAAAATTTTTTTTTCAATACCAACGGACACACAGACATATAATTTGCCAATGTTTTATTAGTAATTATAATTTATAAAATTATCACGTCAATTAGTATTAAAAAATTAAACTGAAATAAAAAAAGATGATAATGATCGTGACTTATCTACCATATTTATAAGAAGTAAGAATTGAGACTCGCTACTTTTTTTTTTTCTAATATATATATATTAAGTGTAAGGTGATGAAATTAAGCTTATTTGGCTAAATTGGAATATTCTCATTCTAATTTAAATATGGTCATAACAAAAGCAACGTAAGGAGGCAAATAACTTGTAGAAAATGGAAATTACACTACAAACCTTTCTCTAGTCACTTTGCCACGAATATGAAAAGTTTTAAAGCAGACTTGACAGGCTCCTGGCTTATCCTTTAATAAACATACTTTTATCACTTTATCTCTAATTAAATTGAATTTTCTTTTTAAAATAAAAATAAAAATCCTTATTTCGAACACGTGGACCCACACATGGGGAATATACTTCAAAACTTAAAAAGCAGCCCGGTTTTGATATAGCTAGACGCCACAATGCCACCCCAAACCAAACAGACAGCATATCCTCAACCCGACAAATCTCAGCCGTCCATTCAAGCTTTTTAATATCCAACGGCTCTGATACAATTCCATCAAAAACCAGGTATCTAGTATCCACTTAACACCTTCTTTTTTTTTTTTGTATGGCTTGAATTATACTATTTATTTATTTTCCATGGCTATAAAATGGCCATTAAACCAAGTCACTTGTTATTCACCCCCAAACTTCCCACTTTCAAAATACACTCTCACTCTCAATCTAAAACCATTTGATACATAGCCAAAAAAAAAAAAAAAAAAAAAAAAAAACCAAAAAAAAAAAAAAAACAAATAAAACAAAAACAAATAATTTTAGTACTAATTATAACAATATAAGTGGAAAAAAAATGGCATGGATTTTTACGATGAAAGTTGTGTTGCTTTCTAGTTGTGTTGTGTTAATGGGTTTGGCGATGAGTGTGTCTGTTCCAATGGCGTTGGAGTTCATGGCGTCGCACGTGCCGCTCGTGTGGAGCTCCGTCATCTCGTGGATGAGGCCTCCCTACCTCTATGTCGTCATCAATGGCATCATCATCTCCATCGCCGCCTTTTCTCGATTCCACCACCATCACGATCACAAATCATCGGAAGACATTGATCATCACCACCACCACCACCACCACCACCATCATCATGTCGGTTATGATGATGATGATGATCAGGAGGTCAATAAGGTCATTTCGTCGGAGTTCAGGGTGATGGATGATGATCAGAGGGTGGCCGTGTATCAGCAGAGAGAGGAGGAGGAGGAAGAGGAGCTCACGGACGTTGTTGATGATGATCAGGTGATGAAAACAGGTGTACCCTATGTGGAGGTTAAAGATCGTGATAATCACGATGGTGAAGACGAGCTTGTGATGGACTCGAGGATAGTTGATCAATATTCGGAGGAGGAGCTGGAGAAGAAGATCATTCTGTTGTCGGAGGAGAAGCCTCTGGTCTCTCGACTCTCTCCGAAGTTTGGTAACCGGAAACCGGTTAAACCAAGTCCTGAAGCGGGTATGTATCTACAAATATATTGAATATTCTTTGTCCTTGATTAACTGTTTTTGTTTGTTTATAAGTCTTAAAATTTTCATTTTTTTTTTTTTTGCTGAGAACTTTATGCGAATTCAGATCATGAATAATATTTCGGATGTTTGTGGGTTCTATAGGGGAAAAAATGTTTACTAGAGTTATGTGGCAAGTCATGATCATGTGCTAATCGGATTGTTAGAACTTCTTTTAATAAAAAGAAATTTGTTCAGAAACAAATATTGATTTTCTTATATTAGTTGGCAAACAGTATTTAGATAATCTATTTTTTTATTTAAGGAAATCTTCTGCCATATTTATCCAATACTTGATCAATAATAAGTTTATTTTTTTGGCCTGAATTGATCAATAATAAGTTGGTAGAAGGCAAGTTTTTATTATCGTACACATGTTATTGGTATAAATCTTTAGTACTTTTTGGCTAAAAGTGTATTTAATTAATAAATTCGTGTCATAATTTAAATTATGATTCATAATTTATTATAATATTTTTTTTTATAAAAAATACACATAAATTTTAAAAAATTTGAATCATAATTTTAAATTTATAAACTAAACGTAAATTAAATCTTACATTTTAACTGAAAGATGGACCGTCCGTTTCACATTCAAACACTAGCATGTCAATTGAGTACAACGTGGGACCATATTCAGGTTTTTGTTCCACGATCTTGGAAATGACTTCTTTTTTTTTTTTTTTTTTTTTCGTCGTTGCGAAAAATTGCCTTTTTTCTTCCGAAACAAAATAAATCTCAAAGATGGCGTTGGATTTACGCTGAAGTACTACTACAGTTATATCTTCCGTTTCTCTTTCGCGCTTTTTCTTTTTCCAGAAAGTTAAAACTTAAAAGACCTCGAGTAGAAAAATCCAAAAGTCAACCTGCGAAACACGACGAAGAATTTAACTTAACAAATTAATTAATTACTTTAATTAACTAATTAATTAATTTTCAGGTAGAAAGGCGTTGAAGGTCGTGTCGAAGCCAAAACGACATGAGACGATGGAGAACACGTGGAAGGCGATAATGGAGGGCCGTTCGATGTCGTTGACCGGCAGGAACGTGAAGATGTGGGAGTGGGACTCTAATTTGGAAAATCAGGGCCGTCCGATCATCGCCTTTGGCGATCTGGAGGTTGATCAAGCACCGTCGACGGCGCCGGAGATGCAGAAATCTCAGACGTTCAAGGACCGGACCAATCAGCAGTCGCCAGCTGTCTGGACGACTTCTAGCAATCTCAGGACAGAGCCATCGCTGAGTCAGGACGAGTTGAACAAGCGAGTGGAAGCATTCATAAACAAGTTTAATGAACAGATGAGGTTGCAGAGGCAGGAGTCGTTGAATCGGTATATGGAGATGATTAACCGTGGAAGCCATTGAATATATTTGTTGAAGTTAAGATGTTTATTGTTGGCTTTCTTTTATTAATTTGGTTAATAGGTAGTATTTGCGAATATTAATTTGATGAAGTTATTTTGTTCATCAAAAAAAAAAAAAAAAAAAACAAAAAAGAAGCAGTAAAATGGCTGTGGCAATTATCGTTTGGGACTTTTTTTGGGCACGTGAACGTACCGGTTAATTAAAAAATATACAAATTTAACAGTTAAAAAAAATTTAAACTACTATTATGTTAGACGTATCAAAAAAAACTCCCTTATTGTTTTAGTTTTTTTTTTTTTTTTTTTTCAGAATCCATTACTAGGCTGGTTTATTTTTTAAGACTATACCCCCAAAAAAATGTGTACAGAAGTGTTTTTTTTTTTTTGGCTAAAAAGAATGTGGTTAATTAAGTTTAGCTCGTGCGTGATATTTGCATGAAGGACATTAGTTAATTTAATTATTTCTAGTTTTCTTTTTCTTACGTATATCGATCTAGTGCAATTTCTTCTAGAACATAGATTCATATGTAGCAAAACATTAAAAAAAAAAAAACAAACAAATCATATGTAGCATAACTTATGTAATTTTTTTATATGTAAAATTAGTCGTATGACGTTTATGTCTTAGTGTTACATGTCCCAATAGAGGCTAACCTTTACTTGCTATGAACAAACTAAAAGTAGGATAATTTTCACTGTTGTTCTTGAATTTTAAAATTATTTTTATTTTGTCAACTTTAAAAATTCACTTTACCATATGAATTTTGACTTGTTCTCACTTAATCTCTTTTATTGTAATTTTTATTAAAAGTAGGATAATTTTCACTGTGGTTATATGATTTTTATTTATTTCTTTTTAATAAAAATTCAAACAAAAAGATTACGTGACTGTGTTATTCTCTTTTTTTATTTATTTTTAATAAAAATTGCAACAAAATGAGTTAAGTGAAAACAATTTAAAATTAAAAAGACAAAATGAGAATTTTTAAAGTTTAAAAAATAAATTGAGAATAACAGTAAAGTTCATGCGGTGTAAGTGATAATAATTCTTAAAGGTATTGGAAGAGCACAATTTTTAACCCTCAAAATTTTATGAATTTTTGTTTTTAAATTAACCACTTTTTAAAAGAAGGTAAAATTTTCTTTTTTTTTTCTATGGAAAATTTTATAGTAGGACTACAAAAATAAACTTTCAGTATTTGTTTTTTATTTTTAACGGTCAAATTTTTATCAAAAATTATTTATTTTACATACTTTAATTGATCTCGTGTGATTTTAACCAGATCAACGGTCAAAAACTGTCCTTTCCAGCGGATTGGTCCTGCCAAAGAAAGCCCCTTTCTCATAACTATTACAAAGCTCTCCTAATAAAAGCGTTCTGGATAGATTGACAAGACAACCAATTTATGCCATGCTTGGCAACCAACTCCAAGAAAGTAGTTTGGGCGACTTGCGATTATATACATGCCATCACCAAACTATGCTTCGTCAATGGGTCGTTGGAGTACAAAACAAGCAACAAGGGGACGCAAAGTTTGGTGAAGCATTTAATTGAATTACATGGTTCAGCATGGCATTTTAACAAAGTGAGAGGGCGAGCATATTAGGGTAAAGGCCTTAGGCTTCAGCAACTTTTTTCCCTTCAAAAAAAGAAAAGACAAAACGAACTTTTTAAGTTAATACATCAGTGCCACAAGCTGTAGTGCCCAAAAGGGTAGAAATAAACAATCAAAGCCACCACTGGTTTGAAGTTAGTACCAAGCATCAAAATTTGGTACCGCTGATTTCGTCGAACAGTGATTCCTTCAAGCAAACAACCAATCAACCTCGTTTTTGCCTCTTTATTCTCTCAAGAGCTCCAAGACGACTATCATTATCCTTGGTGTCATCGCCATCTTCGGCATCTTTCCTCTTTTGAGCCAACTCTCCAAAAACGGCATCGGGAACATCTTTTTGCTTGATTTCAACTCTTTCATCATCTTCCTCTGAATCACTTTCTTCTGGTAGCTCAATGTCTTCAGCATTTGCAGTAGATCTAATATCCGCATTGGGCTGCGATTCTGTTCCAGCACTCACAAACCCCACCTTTCTGTTGCTATCTCTAGCGGTGGTATCGTTGGCTGCTGGAGCTAACTGTCTCTCCAAAGCAGCCATTTCATCTTCTGTGACCCCAGCCTGTTTCAGTTTGTCTTTTGCGTCATCAAGGCTCACTGTTTGATCCTTCTGCATTAGATACTCCGGAAGGATAAAGTGCGTCTGAAAAACAATAAAATGGGATAAGTAATCAGCAATAAAGATTTAGTGTCTATCAGCAATAAGGATTTGGTGTCTCTTAATCTAAAACTGAATACTCGAAGTTGTGAAAGAAATTTAAAAAAAAAAAAAAAGACTTGGCAAGGCTTGAATCAATAAACCAAGAAATCATGATGACCTTCTCTTGGGTGATAGGAAATTAGAATCATGAAGCTTACCTGGCTATAGCTCGCAGAAACACTTCGTTTGATACGAAGCATTTCCCTGAAGGTATCTTCGTTTCCATGTTGCACCTCAAACTCATGCCATTTATTCCAGAAATCCGCATCAGATCGAGGATCTGAAAACTGAGATGCAAATATAAATATCCCACGAGCACGGTCAATTTCTCCCAAGCTCTTCTCGAGCTCAGCATACTTCAAACACATAGTCTTCACATCTTTGTCCGGAAGACCAGATTCTATTGCTTGCTCATATAGCTCCCTTGTCTTCGGGACACCAAATATCTCCGTTGCACGAGCAAGATAGATTTCGTACATGCTAAGCTTCTCATTATTGGGTACAGCCTTAGTTGCTTGGTCATAAACCTTCATAGCCCGCTTTGCCAGACCGTAATCCTCCTCCAGCTTCGCATATTGGAGATACAAAGGTTTCACTGCATCGGCAGGGGCCTGATAGACAAAAGTGCAAGTGTGTTAGGATCAGCATGATGACAAGTTAATAATGGGACAAAGACATACAACTAACAATGCACGTGTACAAATATTGATACAGATAATAATGTATACGCCTATAAACGCAAGATATGGACAGTCATCGAGAGACAGATCATCACAGAACCAGAAGAAAACTCTTAACACAAACATAAGTGTTTTTCAATAATTTGAGAAGATTAGTCCAAGATAATTGTTATGTTCTACATGAAAGTTCAACTTAAAACCTAGTAGAATGCAGTCCCCCCCTAAAATATCAAATCAAAAGAGATGGGGCCTCAGGTTTTTGAATTTATTATTGTTGCAAAAGCTAGCATTACATTCAGATGCACAAATACATTCGGATGTACAATAAAATTTAAATTTCGAAAATTGACAGAACAACTTCGATGAGTCAGCTTGATAACAAATTTATGCTATTTCTCTCTCTGCACGTTTGATTTCCAACCTGTTTCTACTACTTGAACCATTGTTACGCAGATTAAAAACCTAACTTGTGTCTGACAAACTAAGATCTCCTCAGGTACTAGCATTTAAGGTACCTTTAAAAAATATAATAATAATAATAATAATAATAATAATAATAATAATAATAATAAAGGAAAACATAAATTTTATTTAATCTTTTTAGGAATCTTATTGGCTACGACTGTATAAAATAGTTGAAGAAAACAAAATTCAAATTTAAGAAGAAAACTTGCAAACAGCAAAAAGGAAATGATGCTACACGCCTCTTTGTACCCTTAGTTTTCATGGAAAAATAATTGTCACGAAAGTAACTTCTATTTCTGGACAATAATCTAAAGGGAGTAGTGCTGTGTGTACCGTTTCAACAGCATGCTCAAACAGCTCTCTTGCACGTTCTAGTTTTGTTTTTCCATATCTCTTCACAAATTTAGAGAGATAAGTCACCCATATATCTTTGACATGTGGGTACTTAAATATCTTTACACCTCTTTCATACACCTTGAATGCATCTTCAAAGTATTTATGTTCCTGAAACAGTAACATTGTAATGTGGTCAATCTCTTGAAAGAAGAAATAGAAATTAAATTTGCACAAAAAAGATAAACGAAAAAACAATTAGAATGGCCATACCTCAAGAAGCACTGCATAATTGATTATAATTTGTGGTGTGGCTATTCTTAAATCCAGTATCCTCTCATAAACTGCTCGAGTTGACTCTAATGTACCGAGGCTTTCCTCCAAATCCACGTAAAAAGTCCAGAGTCTCAAGGATTTATAAAGCTTCACTTGAACTGGCTCACTGCCATCAGCAGCCACTGCAAGAGAATAAAGAACGGCTAAATATTCATTAATAATAAATAAATAAAGGCTATACTGACATTCAAAAGTAAAGTTGATTGGATTGGAATTGTACATGCCCAATATGGTGTTTTCTGCTGCTTTAATTGTGATAAAACATTCCCATACCAAAATTTGGGAAATAATTCATTGTCATATACCATATTATTTTCTTGCACAGTAAATACTTTAGTTGCTACAGGTGTGCTTATATTTTGATTTTAAGGAAGTACAAAAGCTATAACTCTAAAACATGGTGCTCATTCAACTTTTTGATTTTGAATGAATTTTTCAAGAGGAGAAACAATACACAGAGCCGACTTCTTCTCACATGACGAATACAACATAACCCTGGTCAGGAATGAGATGCAAATAAACCAGATCAAGGAAATTGAACGTGTTTGTTTACAATAAACCAAAAGTATGAATGCGCGAGTGCGAACAAAATTTACAGTGCTAATATGATAGTATTAACCAGTCAAAGTTTTAGCTGAAATGGTCCCTCGTCAATAAACATCAATAGAAATACTTGCAGCTTACTGTCTGCCTTCAAAATGAACACAAGAGACCTATTTGTAGAACAGTCGGAGTGAACTGTGAAATAATCATGTTCAAAATCTTATTAAAAGAATCAAAACCAATTTACGTCCAGATAGTATACAAGTAAAATGCAATAAAACAATTGTTCCATCCAATTAAAAGATGTCAGTTTAGACAAATACTATTATGAGACAAAATTCCAAGAAAAGCAGAAAATTTAACAAGTAATATTGAGGAAAGCAACACTAATACATTACCTCTTCGTTTGACCTCGACGGATGGCTCTGCTGTAGCACGTCTCATCAACTCCAGTGCTCCTTTGAAATTCTTATGTCTCAATTCCATTTCAGCCCATTCACACCAAATGCTAGCGAGATTATCCACGGTCTTGAAGTTCACCTGCACCGCTTTGTCAAAAATCACTCTTGCATTTGCAATATCTTTGTGGCTCTCATAAAGCTTAGCAAAAGCTACCCATAATGTGTGAGGCTTCCCCACTGCTTTCATGGGATCAACTGTCCTCACTGCCTCAGTGTAAGTAAGGATCTGCTTAGTGGGATTACCCTCAAAGAGCTTCACCCTTCGGTGCCACTGCTCCACATTATGTGGATTCTGCCTTAAAAGAACACTATTAGCTAATTCTGGCCTTCTATCCAACAGATGGTCTAATCGATCTAACCTCAAATTCACATCCTTGTCATCATGCAACCAAAACCCATGAAGTATCTTCCTCTCAAATTCAGCCAACAAACTTAAATCCAAACGAACATCTCCATCATCCTCATTACCACCATTCTCTTCCACATCTTCACCTTCCTCCTCTTCATCGTCACTCAAATCCATCTCCTCCATCTTATGTGCCAGCATACCCTGTTCAAACTGCGTATATGAATCGAATATCACACTAAAATCTCTAACCGTAACCACAGTAGTCATGCCCTCTTCAAATATATCCCTCGCCTTCTCGTGCAAATTCCTCCTAATGTAATACTCTGCAAGCGAGGTCCACAACCGCCCCACCTCGTCAGTAAACTTCCTAATCCCGCCCCTAATTATGGCGTCCACATTAAGCCCCGAAACCTCAGTGGCATGCTTAGTGAGCAGATCACACAACTCCAACCACAACCTATGCTTAGTCTTCCCCTTAATCGAGAAAAACTGATCATCATTCAACACAGACGCTAATCTCTCGGACGCCTCTTGCCAAAGACTAGAATTAACCAAGAATTCAATAAAATCCTCAATGTGAGTAGGGTCATATTTCAAGTACCTCCGATAGACGCGAAGCGAGGTTTCGATGGGGACGCCCTTCTGGCTGACGAAGACGAGATAGGGCTCCCAAATGCGGTCGTGCTGGGTCACGGGGAGCGCGCAGAGCGCCCTATCGAATGTCCGGCGGGTCCGAGTGAGCAGCTTCTGCTCAGTGAGAGTCTGGAGGTACATTATCCAGATTCGAGGCATCTTGTGCATGGTGACGAGGGCTCGCTCGAAGGTGTTGTTTAGGGTTTCGTACTGGGAATGAGTGACGGGGAGATTGCGGACGAGCTCGAGGCGTTCGCGGAGATAGGCGTGCCAAAGCTTGTAGCTTCCGGGGAGGGCCTTTAGGGCACGCTCGTAGATGATGAAACGCTTCCTGAACGGCGCTTCGGAGCGGGCAATTAGGTATCGCCACCATAGCTTGAGGCTGAAAGGGTTTCGGAGAAGCTCTTCTTCGTATAGGAGGTCATCCTGGGATGGATAGAGTTCTTGGGAGACCGCCATGGGAGAGCTTGAAAGAAGCTTTTTCAGAAAAAAACCCTAAACCCCAGAAAGAAAGTTCGAATTTGTCAAGAAATTGATTCCCTAAAGTTTGAAATTTGGTTCGGAGGAAGAAGGAAAAAAAAAAAGTTGAGATTTGAGAGAAATAAAGATAATTGACGAATTGGAATCGGAATCGTGATTCCAGTGGGCTGAGGAAGGAGTAGTTGGGAAAAAAGAGAAGGCAGGCGATGCTGCAGAAAGAAGATGAATCAAGAGTTTCAGGGAAAACAACCAAAAAAAAAAAAAAGTAGAGATCGAAAATAAATCAAATTAAACTAAATTTGTGTGATAATTATGAAGAAAAATTAAAATAGGGTCTTTAATAAATATATCAATTTTTTAAAGATGAGAAAAAAAAAGTGATTTAAATGATGATAAGGAAAAATAAATTAACTTTTTTTTTTGAGGTAAAATAAATTAAGTTTGAGATCTTAACCAAAAATATTAACTTTGAGGTAAAATCACTTAAAGTGTTAAAAAATATTATTTATATCACTCTAATTAAACGTAAATAATTATTATTCAATTACTGAAAAATAAAGAATAATAACTACACTTAATTATTAAAAATGATATAAATAATAAATATGTATAAAACTATAACAAACTATATTTGCTTTTCTCATTAAAAATCAACTAGTGTATTAAAAGAATCCAAATAAATCTAGTTAATACGCACCAATAAAATAGCTAATGTAAAATTCAAATAATAACAATCAATAATAAATTGTATAAAATAGCTCCACTCTTTTTTTTTTTCTTCCATTTATGCACCACTTTGGTGTTTGATAATAAATACTATAATGATTTTCATTTTTTATGTTAGAAAATTACGCAATAATTTTAATAATGATTTTAACTTTATTATTTTCAAATATTATAAATCTTTATTATATTACAAAATTAATAGCGAGATTATGTTATATGTTTAAATTTTTCTGCTTAAGTTAGGGTCGGCAATATGGGTCACGATACGATGACACGACTCAAAAAAATACGAATTTTGCGGGTTAGGGTTGAGAAAAAAGAGGTTTGGGCCTGAAATTGACACGAAAAATACAGGTCAATTTCAAGTTGGACCCGCCTAACCCGAACACGACACGAAACTCGTAAAAAACTAAAAAATACATATATTTTTCATTTCATATTTTAAATTTTATTATGAACTTGTGATATTATGATAGTTATACTCAAAATTTCATACTATTATTTGCTTAATTTTAATGAATGTTATTGTAATTTAGTGTGTTATGAATTTTAAGTTATTTCTAATATGTAAAAAACTAAATAAAAGTACGCAATTTTCGTGTCAATTTTGGATTCACGGGTCATTTTCGGGTCGTGTCGTATCAACTTATAAAGTGGTTGTGTCGTGTTCGTGTTGCGGTTTTTAAAAAATTTCGTGTCACGGGTCGTGTTCGAGTTAACTGTAAATTTAAAAAGAAACGATCAAAACACGACACGAACACGATACGTGACATGAATTGCCACTCCTACCTTAAGCAATTGCCTAAGTTGCATAGGAAAGATTATGGTACTAGGCAGCAGGCACCGCGTCGTGGAAGTGGTGACGGTTTGTGGTATTTGACTAAAAATTTGTATTAATTAAGAATAAGAAGTAAAAATTTAGACTCATACACTTTATAAATATATATATATATATATATATTTTAATTCATTCTATATTGTCATTTTCATAGCCTGGGTGGATTAAGGGTCCCATTTATTTCGTTCGTTTGAGTTGAGAACTTGAGTTAAAAAGTAAATTATGTGAGAGAAAATACTGTAGTAAAAAAAATTAAACTTGAATTTTCGTGAAAGAAAACACTATAGTAAAAACTTGAGTTGTAATTCGAACTAGCAAAACGAACGGAGCCTAAAAGACTCAGTACTTGTGTGGTGTAAGGGTTCTGGACTTGGAATTATGATTCTGGTTCAGAATTAGTGTCTGTTTATAAAAAGTAAAAAGTGGTTCTGATTTGACTCATTCAGAATTAATGTTTTGTTAGGATGATGCTGATTCAAGGTTTGAATCATGATATAATGTTTTAAACTATGAATCACTCTTGATTCTAAAACCATCCCCTTTAGTTTTGGGTGGTTCAAACCCCTAATTCTGATTCTGATTTCAAAACTATAATTTAGACCTAAAATCATAAATCATGGTTATAATTCTAAAATTAAAACTAAAATCACCTTAATTTAAACCCTGATAGCAAACAACCCCAGAGATTATGCAATTAAACTCCTATTTGGGCCTAAAGTCTTCATTGACTATACTTCCAGTTGGACATGAAGCCCATAGCTTTTGATGATTCCAGAGGTCCATTTAGATATGGGTTAATATTTGAGGCCGATAGATCAGGAGGGTGACATGATCACTGATTGATCACAAATTCACATTGAAGTGCGGATGTATGAAGGTTGATGAGGGCGTGAGAGCAGCATAGCAGAGCCGAAACGGCGTGTTAAATTTTTGGTTAGTTTTGCAACTGCCACACGTAGATGCCGTAAGCAGCAATAACATTTACACGCCAACCCACACGCAACCCCCCCATTCTCTCTCTCTCTCTCTCTCTCCTCTCTCTGATCATCTTCTTCTCCCTCTCTTCTTCTCCGACACAATCAGAGCTCCTCAACTTCTCTCTCTCCGCGTTTTCCCTTTCCGTGAGTTTTCTTCCTCTCATAGTTTCCTTTTTTCACTTTCTTCTCTCATTTTTCATGAAATTGTTGTCTTTAGCTCCCTGTTTTGCTTTCTGATGCTGAATGTATAAGTTTAGGTTACGGATTTATCAAATTTATTTGATTTCTGTTCCAGTTTTTTTAATTTTTTCTCGCTTTTTTTTTTGTTTTAGATTAGAACGTTAAGAGTTTTGAGTTTTGAAATGGGATTTGGATTTGGATTTCCGATTTACATTGCTGTGATCTGATTATGCCCTGAAAAAAGCTTCATTCGATTTCTCTTTTGTTTGCTTGGTTGCTGGGAAAACGGAAGGAAATGAATAGAATGAGGGATGAATACTGTTCCTTTAGGTCAAAGTATGAATCTTTGAATCAAAAGTATCATTTTCCCCCTTGTGTTTTTTGCCCATCTACCGAACAGTCAATTTAACGTGTTTTTTTTTTCTTTTTTTTTTCCCTCTCTTTCTTTTTGGTAACTAGTTTATTCTTATGTTGGTGAATTTTCTTGTTCCCAAAATCAGTTATTCTGACCCACCTTGGGCTTCAAGGTTATTCTTGAAGCGACCAATTTTGTTACAATCCCACAAGTTTTTATCTTTTTTGTCCCTTTTTTTTATTGTTGTTTTGAATCTCTGGCTTATGAGTAAGGAATTTGAGATGGTTCTCACTTTCTTTTTTATTTTTCTACATGTGATTTGTCTTCAGTGAAGAAGGTTCTTTCTCTTTGCGCGTGTCCCGTTCTCTTCTCCAATCCTCCACACACACATTGGCAAAAGCCTAAAACCCACTTGTCTACCTAAACCTCCAAATTTACCTATTACTATCTACGCATCAAACAAATACAAAACCACCCAAATGGAGGTTAAGCTATGGAACGACAAGCGCGAGAGAGAAATGTACGAGAACTTTGCCGAGCTATATGCCATTATTAAGGCCACTGAGAAGCTTGAGAAGGCCTATGTTCGAGACATAATCTCCTCGGCCGAGTACGAAACCGAGTGCATAAAACACATTGCCCACTTCAAGACCTTAGCTTCCACACTCAAAGACACCATCCCAAGCATAGAGCGCTTTGCAGACACTTATAAAATGGACTGCCCGGCTGCGATAAACCGCCTGGTGACTTCCGGGGTGCCTGCCACGGTGGAGCACAGGGCTTCTGTGGCGGCTGCGGCAACAACCTCAGCCGCCACAGTGGCAGAGTGCACGCAGAATTTCATCACGGCCATGGACACTTTGAAGCTCAACATGGTTGCAACAGATCAGGTTCACCCCGTGCTGTCCGACATCTTGAATTCGCTCAACAAGCTGAGCTTTTTGCCTCCTGATTTCACGGGGAAGGTGAAACTGAAGGAGTGGATGGGAAGGCTGTCAAAGATGGGGGCGGCGGATGAGTTGACGGAGCAGCAGTCTCGGCAGCTTCAATTTGATCTCGAGTCATCTTACAATTCGTTTATGGCAGCTTTGCCTAATGCTGGCACTTGATTGATTTGTTCAAGTGTAAATAAGTGGACATCGACATGATGTTTTGCTTTTGGGGGATTCGACATATAGTGTCTTTGTTAGTTGTAGGTACTTGGTTGGAACTCGGTGATTACTTGGGATGCGTTTACTAATTTTGTGATCCCTGTACACTTTTAAGGATGTATGATCGTAGTATTGATGCTTTATGGAGTCATGGAAGATATGATTTTCATGTTATAATATGGAAGTTCTTTCTTGATTCTTAATGGATATATGTTCTTTTTCAGTTTTCTTTCTCGTATCAAAAAGTTGGTCCTTTGAATTTCTTCTCTGGGTATGCAGTACTGGTTAGTGGATTCTTGCGTGCCATTTATTATAGCATGCTAATCTTGATTTAATTCTCAAAAGCTGAACTTTGGTACTCTCGTTTTGGGAAATAGCTTTTGCCCTGAACAAAATTGACCTGTTGCGGCCAGGGAGTGAAACATTGTGCACATTATAGGCTTCTTTTTACATCATAGTGATCATCTATAATCTATACGGGTGAACGATATTTGAAATCTTTTTGCATATAAGAAAATAGCTGCTTGAGATAGGAAGTTAGCAACTTCTATTCACAACTTTATGCTTGTTGTAGCAATTATTTGCATTCAAATGCATTTTCCACCAATGGGGATCAGTTTTTTGGTTTACGAGCTTCTCTGGTTGGACTAAAAAAAAAAAAAAAGAGGAACTACCGGTAGTTCTCTAGTTTCGACTGTCAGGATCTGTTTAGAATCTGTTTATTTTTGTGTATTTTTTTAATTTGATGTGATTTTAATTAGATTTAATAGTCAGAAACTAGTCTTACCGATACGGAGGACCTGCCAGAGAAACTCTCCGCTCATGAACAGAACAAATTCTTAAGACGAGCAATTGTTTTTGTGAGATATGAGGCGGTGTTTTCTGCTCCATAGTTTTCCTTGGCCAAGTACCGAAACTTTATTGTTCTTATGGACCTAAATTTCGTCTATAGCTACAAAGGCACTCAAGAGTCATAATGTTGTTTCATGCCTTTCGCGTGAAGTTTTAAGGCAGGTAAGGACTTTATATTTTGGTACTGGCATATGACTAGCAAAATGTGGGTTTGGTGAGTTGGCCAAAGAACCATTAATCGCCTAACCAAACAGTAGTCTGTAAGAAATTTCCGTATCTCTTTGTGACTGGCGTGGCGTGCTTTTTCCACGAAGTCTAGCACATGTATATATATGTAAACACACACACACACACACATATATATATATATATATATATCATATATACATATAGCTCATTATTGTACTAGCGTGGTGCAGAACGGTATAGGACAAATTGAAAAGGTAGGAATTCAAAATGAGGAAGCATTCATGATTCAATGGTAAGACCATGTCTGAGGAACCTCTGAAGCCAGTTCTTATGCAAAATTAATGTCGAGTGCGATTAAACGGCCACCCCATCATTATTCTGTTTTTATTTCATTTTTTATTTTTATTTTTGTTTTTGTGTCTGGGGTAGAAAAGCATCCGACAGAGCAACCCAAGTTAAGAAAAGACAGAGGAATCAAACAGAAACGAATCCCGACTTCGAAGGCCGTTATGACGTTATCTATACTTGATATATTAATATAAATTAGTGGTCAAGGAAATTACATTAGAGGGTAGATATATTATACCAATGTTGTCACCTTTTTTTTTTTTTTCCCCCTGTAATCCACAGCAGAACACAATTGGGATTTCCTAATTCCTAACAAAAGAAAACAAGAATACTAATAGGGTTATCTCATTTTTAACTAAAATCAAGCACTAAACCTCCTCTGAAGTATCCTCTTCTTTGTCACAACTCAGTTTCTTAAATTTGGTAAATTTTGTATAATGGTATGGAATTTAGCCATACAGCAGCACAGTGAACGTTTCTGAACCGTCACGTTTTAAGCAAATGGGGCAAAACTGTTGTCAAGAGCGGAAACAACAAGAGAAATATAAGAACCGCACCAAGAGCTATAGCTATGCACGTCCACTTCCTGGAGCTCTTCTGGTGCTCCCTGGCCTCCTGGAGGTTGTCAGTCCCGCGCCTGACAAACGAACTAGCGTGCGCCACGTGGCTCTCGATGTCATTCAGCTGGTGACCCTGCGCTTCCACCAAAGCCGCCATGTCCAAGAATATTTGATGCAACTCAATCAAATTCTTCTCTATCTCCTTCACAGCGTCATGTCTCTCTTGAATCTCAGATATGGTGTCCATTATCTGTCCTCTCCCTTGTTCCTGAATTGCCTTCTGAAGAAAACTCTCGCTTTCGCCGCTTGATATTAAATTCTCTATTGTCTCCTCGCTCGCTCTCTCACCGGTTATGGTGAAATACCTGTTCAGTTTTTAACATTAAGTTTTCATGTTGTAACACCATCATCTAAATAAAACTAGACTAGTTTGGACTATGTTAAATTCTCTTAATGCGTCTCTTTTGCATAATTTTTATTAAAAGGACAGACAAATCTTGTACATTTTTTTGTTAGCGATCCATAGTGGGGTGTATCTACTTATCATACAGTTGATAATGTTCCTTTTTTTTTTTTTTTTTTAAAGAAGAATTCTGTAATCAGGTATGACGACATGCCATTATTTTAAATTGTCAAATTAAATTAAAATCATATAAGATTAAAACTATATTAGTTTGGACTATGCTAAATTCTCTCAATGCATCTTTATAGCTATGGACAAATCATCTACATTTTATTGTTAGCAATCCATAGTGGGGTGTATCTACTTATCATACACTGGATAATGTTCCTTTTTTTAAGGGAATTACGTGGCAGGGATTGAAAACATGACATAATTTTAAATTGTCAAAATAAAATAATATATATATATATATATAAGATTAAAAAAAATTATAATTTAACAGAATCTGACGAAAATCTAACGGTTGTCTTACCAACAACTTTTTTTTGAAAAAAAAAATATATTATTACTATTCCATGTATAAAGTGAGATTGTTATTGAACCACTCATATTAATCATATTGATTAAGCATGTTGATCTTTAATTAAGAGGGAACATATTAGACATCATTATATCTTGTAATGCATGAATAATAACCAACAATATGCAAATACCTTCTCTCCACAGTTTCCTTGTACTCAAACTGCATCCTCCCTCGCAAGCCTTGGAAGTCATCCATCAAGTTCTTGAGCTTCTTCCCCAAGCCGCTAACCACCGATGTCCGGGTCCGGTCGGCCGACGACCCGGGTCCGGAGCCGGGAAGGCTCCTGTGTGCTGCATTAGAACGTTCAAGAGCTTCAAGCTTGGCCTTGATGAGCTTGACACGTTTGAGGACTTGTTCGACGTCGGAGTCCATTCGGGACCGAAGCTCCTTCATGGTCTTGGCGTTGTGGACGATCTTGCTCTCCTCGTTGGCCTCCTGCAACTTCCTGTACAGCTTCTCCACCACTCTCATGTCTTCCTTAACATTCTCGACGTCCTCGAAGAACTTGTCCAGATTCGCCGTCTCTTTCCCGGCTTCCATGTCGTCCAGGTACGACTGTTGCTTCAGATCCGTGTATCTTTTGAACGAGCTCGAGAATAAATCGTTCATCCTTGCAGGCTCTTGATTATACGGATTTATCTAATAATCTATATATATATATATGTGAATATATGTATTCTTATATTGTTTGTAATGAATTATAAGTTGGGTTGTAATTTGTTGTGTTTTTTCTTTGATCAGTAGTGCGTGTGCATGAGAAAGAAGGTGATGACGAAAAAGCATATACAGTTAGAGACCTAGAAATGGACGTGAAAGGAAGCTTCCTTGTTTTTGGCGGAGATGGACGTATTAGAAGGGGTTAACTTTAGGATTAATTAGGACCGGCCAAATTATCCTATAAGCCAGTTTTGAAGGTGGGTGAGGCTTTGTTTGCTCCTTAACTAACTAAAGGCATCCTAATTTTTGCTAGTCATTAACTTAATTTTGTTGACTTGGTCGTCTTTTTGTTCTATTTTATATGAAAAATAGGAAGAATTTCAAGAACGTCCCACGAACTATTACCCGAATTTAATTTGTGTCGCAAAACTTTGAAAATCGCTCACTTCTTTTATGAATCATACAAAATCGTTCAAAACACCTCATTCTTTCATAATAGAGAAAATTGCTGAAGTTATTCTTAAAACACATAAGTCTGAATTTTTACTCCTTAGTCTTGATTAATATCATTTTAACTAATATAGTTATTTGACTAAAAAAAATATTAATCAATAGTAACAAGTAAAAATTTAAGGGATAAGTGTTAATTTGGTTTTGACAATATACAATTTTGAATAATATACATATATGTATAAAATAAAATATATATTATATAATTTTATTCTTGATTGCACGTGGTATAAGAATTACTTGGCATATAAATAAAACCATACTCTTGACTTTGGGGATCATTTTGTAGCTGATTAACAGCCCGAACATGGGACGACCATCCAAAAACAACTACTCTTTAATTAATGAATTTTATGTGAGAGTTGGTATTGGCACTCGCTAATCATTATTCAGTATTAATGTCAAGAGTTTGTACGAGTACGTGGTTGAGTAATATCTCATAACTTTTGTTGTTTCTTCCCCAAAATAGAGAGGTTAAAATTCAATAATCTACAGCGGATTTATTTACAAGATGGAAAGCCAAAAAGAAACTGCCCAGCGCACAATTTATGCATTTTAATTATAGTTCTGAATATCTGTACGGACGCCTATTTTGTCATCATCTTGGACCGGTGGAATTGCGTCTCCCTAGTGGCCTGCCTCTTTCAACGAGTTGTTCCTTCTAAATTTCAGCCCTGACTAGAAAGAATGAATAAATAAATAAAACCAAGAAAAAAATAATACCAAGGCAAAAAGATGCTTTTCTACTACACAAACGAACACGTAAAATGCCAAAAATGCTAGAGGGGAAAAGAGAGACAATCTTTCAAACGCAGTTTAAACACATCTAATTCCAAGGGAATATATTAGTCTCGCAATAAACGAGAATGATTTTACGTGTATAGATGTACGAAGATAACTCAGGTACAACAAGTGAAACTGAATGTAATTTTCTACTTCACTGAGCCGAGAAAACAGAGATTTGTTACATCCTCTATTACACTATGAAGGCAGCAAGGTGAGCTTCCTAAAATAATTCTAATAGCTTCAACCAGCAATGCACTTCGGTCGTGTACTAATCGCCTTTCTACTTAAATAGGACTCGGGTCTACAATTTCATTACAGTAAAAGAGAACAATAACATACCCTAAAAACTGTTTCTCAACCGTTATAAAGCTCGCCTAAAAACTGTGTCTCAACCATTATAAAGCTCCCTTTCTACCCTCTTCATTATGTACAGACCTTAATGAGTGATATACCATTTGCGGATGAATGTACAAACCAAGTTGATCCGACGGAATGCTATATTTATCCTGCAGCAGTTGATGATACTGATGCTTTCACGGACAAAGTTGCAGGACAGCCGTCGTCGGCGGCATCATGTTGAGTGCTGCCAAGGTTTATGCCATTGTTGGGTTTCCCTCCCACTGCATCACCCCCATCTCGCCGTGAATGGTTGCCAGATGGATTTTCACAGCCACCAGAGCTCGACAATTTCTGCTGTCTTAGGTATCTCTCAGTAGCATCTTGGAGCAATTTCATCATGTCGCCAGAATCTGAACAAGGGGACAGCTCTTCCTCCCGCTCTGGCTGGATATTAAGATCAATTTGGCCTTTAAAAGGCGAGGTGGAGGTTTTTACCTTACTAGGTTCATCATCCAAAACCTCACAGACTATTTTCGGTTGTTTTGGAATGTCTGATGCATTACTACTTATCAAGGTGTCGACCTGCAACTTCTGGGGTGGCAGTTGCTGCTGATGCTGCTTTTTGCGCGTGGTTTCTGCTTCTTTCTCAGATTGCTTCTTCTCGCGCCGCAACATTAAAGTACGGAACCGGCGTTTCACAGTCAAGCAGACATTGCACGTGCAAGTTTGTTTATGTTTTGGACCCTTTCCACTCGGGGGCTGTATGCACACGATGCATGAGCAACCCGATCTGTGTCGGGGGTGTTTCGTGGTGGCCTGAGCTGATGCTGGGAGCGAATCACCCTCTCCCAAGATAGCCAGATTAGCAAGGGTGTCCAGACCCTCAAGAGCTTCCACATGTTCTGCATCCTGTTTAGCAGCCTTCATTTTCTTAGGAGCAACTGTTCAATCAGTCAGAAAAGAGACTGAATTTAACAAATACGAATTAAATGCATATTACCGTATGAGAAGAACTTTCGATGCTTAGCATGATACTGGTACCCGCTTCATAACTAACCAAGTTGAACTCCTCTGAGTCATATTTGGCTAGATGATGGATAGAAAAAGACAACATATATTTGCATTAAGCAACCTATACCTGAAACAGATTGAGGTAGAAGATCTTCAAGTTCTTCTGACGTTAATTCTTGAGCTGCTGAGCAGACAGATCTGCAAGCAATTTTCTAACATATTAACAGAATACCAAGTGAGAGGCAACAAGTCGTGTATGATTCAGGTATATTCATCAAGTACTTTTACAAGGGTCCTTGTTCTCTATTTTGCTCTTTTTGTATTCAACAAGAAGAAAATCTTCTGCTGCAATTTAACTCCTTTTTTAATACAAAATGCCGAGAGATTTTTCAAGTAATTCAAACATTATACAAAGTTTGAAGATCACACATCATTTCAGTAGAAATCTCAAAAAAAGTGCAGTCAGACGAGCAGTCCAAATACATGAAGTACTCAAATCAAATGAAATCCACTTTTTGTTATTTTGACACAAATTTTTGTTTAATCCCGGTTTGAGGCGAAGGTTCTTTTAAGAAAGCTCACTGCCTCTTGTCTGCTAATTTGCAGCTTCCAGGAAAAGATTCACCACTATTTCACCAGACTGTACTTAAAAAAGTGAGATCAAGTAGGCTTTGGGCACAGAAGCAGAAAAGATTGTCACTCCGTAATGCAACTTCAAAGCCACAAAATATGTCTAATATGCCTGTCATACCTTTCTGGGTCCCATGAGTTATCAGAACAGGTCCATTTCGAGGGAAGAAGAGCATCAGCAGGCAATTTGCGGAATTTGGAGCAGTCTTCACATTGGACCCATTGAATCTTTCCGCTGATACAAACAAAACTAGCATTAGAACCTGCTAATCCTTACCCACATAAACACAAGAACTCTAAAGCATTACCCCCACTACTAAGTATATATTGAGTTCCCTACCTTCTTTTTCCCTCTTTTTCCTTCTCTCCCAAAAATATTTCTATTTGACTTTAAATCAGCAAATGAAAATATGCAAAAATAAAAGAATAAAAAGTGGAGTAAACACAAAAATAATTAGTCATAAAAAGCCCCAAATACAAATTTCAGCACTAAGAGGTAAAGTAATTTACCCGACATTAGTGGTCGCAAAAATTGTTGGTTTCCCAAGTACTGGTGCATCCTGAAATGATAATTAGAAGAATTTAAGTACATAGGCTCTACGTGCCAATCCATGAGTTCAGTCATTCGAGCAAAAGAAGAATGTAGAAGAATCAACTTTAAAAAAATCATAATCTGTCATCAAATGTAGTATCTTTTGTATAAAAGATAAGTTTGGAGTTCCACGGTGTTAAATAGGTTTTGAGGGTAGGGCGGCTGGGGTTCTGAAGAAGCTAATCCTTCCACGTTTTGGCTACTCAGCCAGAAAATGAATTATGAAAAGTGGTACTAAGGTACTGTAGTTAATAAATATTAACCACATTTTAAAATAAAAGTAGTTAAGGCCCAAGCCGAGATTTTTGTGTACAACGAAATTGTAATTGACATTTTTTTTGTCTCCCTGGAGAATATATATGTGTGTGTATGTGTGTATATATATTATATTTCTGTCACGACAGCTTTTCTTTGCACCAGTTATCGTGCTCACTACAGTATCAAGCCACGCCGCAGCCATCTAGAAATGAAAGTGCAGTCATGGACAGCAGAACTTTGAGTACAAGAACGAAGAAACCTCCATCTTTCTTGCTAGAATCAAAATGCAATCAAATGCTACAACGACAAAGTGCTTGGAAATCCAATATCCTTCAAAAGCAAAACAACAATACATAGTACCTCGTATTCCTCAAACTCAATGCCTTCAATCACCACAATGCTCGGAACATGATTGTTTGGAGGACGCAGCAGTCCTTGAGCTTCTTCCCATGTTAGCTTCAGCTCCATCACATCCTCATTTTCATTTCTTATTCGCTTGCTTTTAGAGACTAAGGTACTACTCTTCCTCTTTCTAGGGATCAACGCTTTTGCTCCCAGAACTTCTTTAGCTATGTATCCGGACTTGTCAACTTTTGACCAAGAACTAGGATCTGCCAATTCAGCCTGGTTGATTGATGAAAAGCTAGGTGATCCTTAGCTACCGTCTAAATGATGAATGATATATAATAAACAAAAAGAAACTTCACCAGATTTAGATTTGTAATACTAACATCTCCACGTGCAGAAACTCCATTTCCATTCTTGTTTGTTTCGTTTTCCTGCCAAATGTAACAATCCGATGAAGTTAATTGTATGCTGAAATTATTGATATTAGCCCATACAAAGCTATTCAAAGTTGGTAAACCTCAAAATTTCACAGCAAAAAATAATGAATTTGACTGCATCAAACACTTGCTTAGTGGTTAACTCCCTACACACTGAATAGAACCACCACTTAGTGGTTAACTCCCTTACACACTGAACAGAACCACCACCAAGGAACAAAAACTAATTCCAGCTAGTTCTCTGAAATCCCGGTTCATATACCCCTACAATCTCCTTAAATTGTTCCTTCTCGTCCAAAACACCATGGCTTAAGAATGCCCACTGTTGCCTTGTCTTTTCTTATTCTAAAACAAATCTTAAGATTGTTATACAAAATTTCAAAACACCGAAAAACATGGTTGCAACTGCGTGATCTCCCAACTAAACATGCCAACTAAAGTTTCTCTGTCTTGCAATGAAATTAGGAAATTTACTTGTACTGAGATATATCCATATAAGAGATATTGCAGAAGCATTCCCTTATACAATTGCACAAAGAGATGTACATAAGTGGAGCTTGAATTGGAAAATGCCAAACCTGATCTGATGGTGGGGCTGCTGAGGCCTTTCTGAACCCCATGACTAATTTTCCTTCTGGCTCTAAACGACTAAATGTGACTGAGGAAAAAGATTAACTCTTCAGAGCCAAATTGAACGAATTATAAAATTAAGTGGGTATAAACATAATAAGCAGACAGAAACAAATGAAATACGTACATAGGGCATAAAAGAAGAATAATGAAGACAACATAACGTTAAAAGACAACGGTTAGCATATGAATTTTTGACCAGATTCCCAAAGAATGTCACAAAATGCACCACAGCATAGTAAATCCAAGAGAGCATGAGTATGATGGCCAAGGTTCCATTCAAACCATAATGAAGTAAGAATCAACTTTACACTTTAAAATTTAGAAACTTCCTCAGTGATAGCAGTTAATTACCTATGTCACCTGCTTGCAATTGCATGGACTGTATGCAAGGAGTAACACCCTCCAGAACATACATTCTGCTATTATTGTTAGGCCAAAAACGAAACTGAAATATCCATCCCTTTCCTTTTGCATCCTGGACCTTAAGAGGTAACCCTTCAGGTTGAGAAATTGGAGGAAAGTAGGCCTGTCTCGTGAAAGAAAAAAAAAAAGGCATATTACCGTGATGAGCTAGCAGGCATTTTTGTTGTAGCAAATGGTAGCACATACCTCGTGTCAATTCAGTTCTCAAGCAAAATACAAAGATGAACGTAGCATTCTAAAAGTTGACCTGATACTAAAATTTTGAACACCTCTTTGGAGAAAAAGAGGAGTTTTTTTTTTTTTTTTTCTTTTAGTACGGAACTACCTTCCCATCAGGGAAAGTGAGAAAATGATGTATTTAAAACAGAGATGCTACGACGCACAACAAGTTCCTCAAAAATGGGAGCCATCAGTTCTCACCATTAGTGTGAAAGGTGAGGTGAAATGCCCATGTTGAATTAAACATATTAAAATTCACCAGAATACAAGCTTAACCAATCTACCCATCACTTAAATTAAAATATTCATAAATTGAAAGTTTCCAGGTGGATATTATAAGTAAAAGTCACATGCACGGCCAATATTTCTTATGCCTCTAAAAAACCAAAGTTTCACTTCAGTTTCAATAAGGTAAAAACTCACCTCTGCACATTTTTTTGGAAGTACCAGACGCCCAATCCGCCCGGCATCGCTTGCACTTAACATTTTCTCAAACAATGGAGTGATCACAGAATTTGAACTTAAATTTCGTTAAGGCTTGTGGGACGCTAAATTCAGAATAGAATGAGAAAGTATTGTATGATGATTTAAAGGAAAGCAAGTTCCGAATATATATATGTGTGTGTGTGTGAGTGTGTGCGTGTGTGTGTGTGTGTGTGTGTTATGGGAAGTTCCCTTGGATATCATAATACGTTAAATAAATAAGACAGATGCAAAAAAGGGTATGTTTGTTTCACAACTCAAATTAAGAACTTGAGTTGTGTATGTGAGAGAAAAACATTGTAGCAAAAAAGTTGAATTTGAATTTTTGTGTGAGAAAATACTGTAGCAATAGAAATTGAGTTGTGAAAAGAACCAAGGCCAAAACATCAAAAGGTATCAACATGAACAAGTATAAATTCTTAGAAATATAATCAACTCAAACATATGAAATTCAAGTTTGTATTTTATATCAAATTTTTTAGAACAAGAAAAAAGAAAAGGATACTCTCCAGATATCTGTTGTAGCTCTTGATCAGTAAATCTAGGCCAATATCGAGGAAGTAATTGATTTTTTCCTCGGGCATCTGCACGGGGCCTTGCATTGCGAATATGAGTGTCACCAGATGAGTCAATTCCGTTATGTAAATTACCAATAAATTGTTTTGACAAGGATGGAGGGCTTGGTCGCAAAGTTGTTCCAGAAACCCCAACTTGTTCATTTGTATCATTGGTAGATGAATAAGGTACAGTCAAACCAAATTGTTGAGTAGATTGATCCTCCTTTAGAGAGGAGGACATACTTAAACATGAACTAATTTGTTCCTCGCAGTTCTTTCCTGTAACAGATTCAAATAAAGTCTCAGCACCCAATGTGACTATCACTCGGAACAATTTCTGCAGCTTGGAAGCAAAATATAGGAGAACAAATCCACTCTTCCCTTTTGTTTTTTACTACATATTGAATAGTATGAAAGAACCCGTACCTGCAGTCCCATTTTCAAGAATTTCCCGCGAACCAAGCTTCAGGCAACCATTTTGTAATCTTTCAGATAAATCCTCAATTTTTTTCTTTTCCGTGGATGAGACAGTTATCCTTTCAGTGGTACTCAGCTTGTTAAGTGCACTTGAAATGTCAACTTCATATGGACTCCTTGAATTCATTTCAGATGACGGAATCGATGAACTGAATAAGCTAGGGGCTTGTCGCCATGGTACAGGACCTGATCCAGCTAACTGACTCCAATTTTTAACAGACAAGTCCTTAAGCCTCTCGGGTACAGGTGAGTGGAAAAACAAAGATGGATGCCATGCCGGATTTGATGTCTAGGATACAGAATTCAGGATATTCAGTTGCAAGATAATATTTTATAGTCCAAATGACAAATCGGTATTGGTTCAAGCAAACATTAAATTAGCATTCAGAGCTTTATTTTGAGCCCTATAATTAAAACAAAAGGCATTCAACTTGTTTAAACATAGCATAAGATAAACTTTATCATTTAGTTGCAATATAAGAAAGTTGATATAAATTTCTCCTACCAAAAAGACATTTTTCCTTGCACATGCAATGCATTCAATTCCTCCAGGGTCCAATAATGTGAAGAGGTGACTAGAAACAATACATCCACAATGAACCCGCTGCAAAGAATTAAACTCCAGATATGATGCAAATGAATTAAACTCCTTGAATAAACATTAACAGTGCAAGGATTATACATTCATAATGGAAATAAGAAAATTTTCCTACTTACCTTTCCACAAGATTCACAACACCTCCAGCCAGAAGCATTTCCATGGAAAGTCTCACAAAACCTTCCTTCCTCGAAAGCAGAACTTGAGTAACATAGAAGTACATTAAACTTTAGGACAAAAATAACGAATAAAGAATATTGTTACGCAAGAGTGAGAAATGGTAATATTGACCATGCAACATAATAGAAAAGAAAAAAACATAAGGTTTTAAACCCAAAAAGAAAAAAGAAATTAAAAATAAACAACCTGTAGATGATTATAAGGACAGAAAAAAAAAATATATGCAGATTGCCATTACCCTTAAATATCAAAGGGAAAAAATGGACAGCAGAAATTTCATCATAAGATAGCTTAGAAAATGTTTTTTAAAAAAAAAATGAAAGAAATCAAGACTATCAGCATCAAAAAGCTAGAAAAATAAGAAGTTAGCTTGAAGGCCAATCATTGATGAATAGTTAGTAGTTCACTAGTTCGTCTTGTCATAGTCAAGATTGAAAAAATCCCAGTGACACAAGTGTCTCTTAAGCAAAAATTAGCTAAAAAAGTTTGCCAAGAAACACTTTTAAAGAGTGGAACACAATCCAAGTTAGGTGATAATCGTGAGCAGCTTCTCAACTTTGTTACCCAGACACACATCCTGAGTAATATCTTCTGGTTCAGAAGTGTTCAGATCTGGTATCTTTGCATCCTCTTGTCAGGGTCCTCTAGAACCACAAGACGGTTTGAGCTGACAAGGTTCAGAAAGCAGATTTTGTAGGACAATAACTACGTAAACTAAATTAACTTGAAAGATAAAAGGAATTTCTGATCAACAAGTACAGACTGGTTTTTATATTAGCATTGCCTAGAGACCCCTTCCACGAGGCCCAAGACAATAGCCCAAATGGCACATACTACTGTAGACATTCAAATTAAAAGATTATCCCGTTGTAAGAGAACCTCTTCATTACTAGATCTTCAAAGGATACTTGAGTAAGTTTCAAGCGTTTCTAATAACCTCAATAATCTAACACACGTGAACAGCTACGAGGATAATAAAGGTGCACTTATATTTGTTCATTACTACAACTCTCTCAAAACTGTGCATGGATTATTATCAAAGCAAATAAATCACAAGATAAATTTACCCAAAAAAGGACATAGCAACTGTTTCCAATTATTTATGTAGGGAAACAGCTTATAATGGAATTGACAGAACTATAAGACGCTTATTTAGTGATAAAACTAATTATAAACGAAAAACTAAGTGACCAAAATGGTGATTACAATCCAAATGTCACATCAAAACATCTTCTCCAATTACATGGAGCACAAAAAAAAATAATAATAATCCATCTTCTCCAATTTCGGAAAGCAATTCAACACTAAACAAATTAAATAAAAGCCAAAAAAAAAAGAGTTAAATTCTTCAGTTCAGGTGATCATACTTCAAATCCCCGCCCCCTAATGCAAAACCCAGGAGGAAAAGGAAAACATGTAGTTAAAACCAAATTCCCCAAATTACCCACTTAAACAAACCATATCTCCGTTTCCAAAACAAGCACATAACAACATTAACGAACTCCAAATTCAAAAACACCCCCAAAACCCACCACTAAAACCCTAACGCCTAATCAAACTCCAACAGAGCATCATCAAACTCAAAATCGCATCCAAAACTCCCAAGCAAAGAACAAACCACAGGAACATTCAACAAAGCCAAATAAAAAATAATAATAACTAAAAAGAAAGCTGAACTTACGCGCATCGATCACAGAGCTCAGCCAACTCGCCGGTGCGGAGGCGCCACCCCTTCCTCGGCCTCTCCGGCTTCAATTCCTTACACTCCGGATTGTAGCAGACCATCGACGCCGCCGGCGACGACGAGGAGGCACTAGTCGCCATCGAAGCAGCTCAAAACACAACTCACGAACTCCAAAACAAAACAGAAAACCTCCACATAAAACCCTAGAAATCCAGCTCCGAACACAGAGAAACTGAGAGCGAGAAGCCGGAGAAACAAAATCGAGTCGCTCAACTGCCTGATCTGTGGTTGCGAGAACGAGAGAGACAGAGAAAGAGAGAGGGTTTTAGAGAGAGAGACAGAGGAGAGTTTGTTGTTCTAGTGAGAGAAAGTAAATGAAATCCATAAAATATATATATGAGAGGCTTGAAAAACACGTCGACTCCTCTGTTTGTGTGTGGGTGTGGCTTTTATTTCCTTGGCGTCGTCATTTCTCTCTCTCTCTCCAAACTTTTCTTGTTTTTGTTTTCTTCATCATTCATTCACAAAGCTCTCGGTTCTTTATTTTAAAAATAAAATATAAAATATAAAATATAATAGCTCACTCGCTGTGGCTGGTGGCTTTTTTACCTTTTTTTCGTCGTCGTTGGCACATGCGCAAAATTCCATTTTATCCAAACGGTCCCATTGCGGGCGTGCCCAACGGGCAAAAGAGACAAGAGGGGCGTTTTGGTAAATCCGTTACTTAGTTTGACTAGTTCGGTTCCCACGGCGGTTTTACCAAAATACCCCACGTGGGATAAGCTGAAACCAGGAGCGAGTTTCGAGGCTTATTACAGTCGCCGCGGGTGGGGGAATTCTTCATTTGCCTTGCAATGTGTGAAATAATCATGCAAGGCCCGCCAAAGGTCATGCAATCACGTAACGCCTACCTCTTATCACACGCGCGCCTTATACATTGGTTTGGTTTGACAACGACTCCTTTTCAGACCAAAATTGACTCTTCTTTTATCTTTTATTCATTTTTATTTTTATTTTCTTTTTCTATTTTTACTTCAATTTTTTTTAGCTTAATATAGTAAAGCCAAACTACTATAATAAATATCTATTTTGTGATTTAGAAAGGGAGTGATATTACTGGTCAGTGGTGTAAGTTGTTGGAACTTATCCTCTTCCTCGGAGGCCAACGTTATTAACTAACGTGTCACGTTTCTTTCTTTTTTCTTTTTTTTTTTTTTTCTTTTTTTTTTTTTTAAATTGAAAGTAAATCAGACTACGGAAAATGTAATGAAAGTGGCGATATCATAACGGCTAATTAGTTTGATTCTACGCAGGTGTTAAATAATTATAAAGATCTACGATGATTAATGAGTATAAACACGTACGGCTCTTTATATTTTAACAAATAAATTATTGATTGATTAATCTTAATATGTTGTCAACTCTTACAACAGGCATGTCCGGCGTTATCAAGTCCTAAATAAACTCTTAATCTGACGTTTTGAAAACAATAAATATGAAAACATTACAATCGGAATTGCTGACAAAAAAATTTTAAATAATTGAGGCAGTACCGTTCACTTTTGGAGACCAACCCACACGCTCTGTTCCTTTTTGCTGGAAAAAAAAAAAAAAAAAAAAGAGGGAGGAAGATGCATGTCATTTGCCTCATCCATATTGTTTGTACAAGAAATTTTTGGGGGGCCCACCGATAAATCAATTAAGAGACGTTTGGTTCATGGATTAAAATCATGTGATTAGAATTGTTTTTGATTTACGTGTATTTTTTATAAAAGAAAACACTGTAGTGAACCATGAACTATGATTCAAATCATGGTTTAAATTCTCTAACCAAACATCCCCTTAGTGAATGTTTAGTTTGAGGATTCAAATCATGATTTGAATCATGGTTCATGGTTCGTTACAGTGTTTTCTCTCACAAAAAATACACGTCAATTGAAAATGATTATAATCACATGATTTTAATCCATGAACCAAACGTCTCCTATATACTCAAAGGATAGGTCCCGTTTTACTTATATAACCATAAATTTTAAGGTTTTATTAGTCGGACAATATTTTAAATTATGTGAACATTTGGTTCACATATTCAAAATCATAATTTAAAATTATTTTTTATTTATGTGTGTTTTTTGTGAGAAAAAATATTATAACGAATAACGAATTATAATTCGAATCATAACATGAATTCTCATATCAAACACAGCTTATATTTCTAATTAAGATTACCGAGTATCAAACCTAAAAAAAGAAAAAATTAAAATAAGTATTTTGTTAACTATTCGTCACCCCAACCACATGTGTTTGTACTTGAAATAAGTCAAGTTACTTTGTACTTGTGAAAAGGTAACACCTATCTCTATTTGGGTGAGAAATATCAGATCAGACGGATATAAGAGAAAAAGATCGACCCATTAATTGGATTTTAAACGTGTACAACATGGTGTACGGTGGCAATGGATGATAAAGCTGGTTTAGCCACTGGTTCAGTGGGGTCTAAAAGAAACTCTCTTGTTGTTGGTTATTGTGTGAACTGAGTAAAACGTACGTCAAAACAATATTAATAATAATAATAATAAATAAATAAAAGAATACTAGAAACAATATCACAATTCACAACGTTTCTCATTCTATAATAACAACGTTGCAGGTTAAACAATCTACTTAAATATGCCAAATATATGAAGACAATTTATGTCGTTGTCAATCTTCTAGTAGCTGTTACACTTGGGCATGAAATTATATAGCACGTATAAAGCCATGATTAGATAAAATAAAACAATTCAGCTACATGTACCAAAACTTTGATCTAACTGGATATTTAAATAACATTTTTAATTAATTAATGTTACGACCACGTTACTTGATACGAAATGACGTGCAATAATGTTAATCCATTTCTATCATGGGCTTAGTCAGCTAAAGGCTTAGGGTGCGTTTAGTATATAGATTCAAAATTATGATTTTAGATTATGATTCAGAATCAGTATTTATTTACAGTGATTCTGAATCATAATTCAGAATCAGTGTTTAGTTTAGATTATTCTGAATTATGATTCAAAATCTGATGTAATGTTTTAAACTATCTCAAATCATGATTCTAAAACCACCCCCTCTTAATTAAAGGTGATTTAAACCCCTGATTCTGAATCATGGTTTTAAAATCATGATTTGAACCCAAAATCATAAATCATGATTCTAACTCTAAAATCATGATTAGAATCATCCTGATTTGAATCCTCGTACCAAACAAACCCTTAAAATTGGGACGAGAAAGAAATGAGGTAAATAACTTTTTTAAGAGGAATAATTATTTTTGTAGATTTACTTATAACAAAATTTTAAAATCTGTAATTAATTTAACAATTTACTTAAATATTGAAGCTCAAATAATTAAATAAATATATTGTTAATTCTTGCTATTTTTATTCACACAATTAATATTTATTAGTTTTTAATTAATCAACTCATTCTTTATCACTAATTAGAAAAGTTAAAAAAAAAAAAATTAAGAGGACAATTCACTACGCATCATAATAAATCTAGACAATTTGATAAAGTAAAGATTTTGAAAACGGACAATTTGCTATATATGATTTCTCAAAAAGGCTATATAGATGTAATCGCTTTCATGAATCATGCATCACGCATACAAAGGACCATAACATTACAAAACATACTTCAACACCTGGACAATAAGATGAAGACTAAAGAAAATTATTCGTGTGGGGTTTACTGGGTAGTCATGCAAGGTTCCAAAAATGAATTAATATGTGGGTCGATTAATTAAGACCAGGAAATTTATATAACATGGAAAATAATGAGAAAGAACCAAAAAGGATTGGCATGTGCGTCTTGATTGGAGATATTTTATTTTATAAGTTTATTATATATATATATATATATATATATAAACGAGTCATACATTAATCTAAATAGAATCGAATCTCTTAACAATGATGTTTTTCCTTGTTTCTTTCATGGGAATATATATATACATAGATAGATACATATATATTGGAAAGAAGGTTAATTAGTGGTCAGAGTTCAAAATATATACATATATGTGTGTGTGTATATATATATATATATATATAGGAATATATAGCTAGAGAAATCACTTGTGAATTGTGTGAGGGACACCACATGTGGGCTCTCCATAATAATTGCCACTATTTGATGAGTAAGTGAAAAAATAAAAGTTGGGTCGACCAAATTCAAAAAGGAAGTTATATATGTTGTGAATTCATTATGTTCGGCATTAAGTATCATGTTTTCCGCATCACTTTACTCGAAAATATTAACTAATTAACTGATCTATATATGATTATAACAACATTATTATAGTAATGATGACAAGTAGGGATCAGAAACTTATGATTATTCCATATTTGCATTCTCCAATTAACATTAGTGCTACTGGCGCAGGACATACGTATATGCTTTCCATTAACAATCCATATTGCAATTTTTTTTTTTTTTTGGAACATCAATTACAACTATATCAACAATTTCCAAAAAAAAAAAAAAAAAAAAAGAATACACCTATATCAGATTCCTGAAAAGAAAGGGAAAGAAATAAAGAAACACATCAGATCATTAATATTTAGTTAAATTTTTATTTTTTCTCCGTACAGTTTGCACAATTAAAGTATGGCTTTCACAATATTCTATAAAAGATTTCTCAAATAAACCCCAGAGTCCGTTTAGTTGTTGATTCGAGTTTTAATTTAAATTAAAATGTGATTTTAAAAAATTAAGTGCGACTGTTTCTGAGAGTTTTTTACTATAGCAAAACTCAAATTTTAAACTCGAATCGGTGAAGTGAACGGGACATAAAAAACTTAAACTGTTAAAAATATTTTTTATTTTCAACTGTCATATTTATACCATTAATTTATTTTACACGTTTTTAAGTTGATCCGATTTTAACTAAATTTAATATTCAGAAACTAATCCTTACTTATTAAAGGTCCGATCAAAAATTAAGGAGACGTTTAGTTCATAGATTAAAATTATTTTCAATTTATGTGTATTTTTTATGAAAAAAAATAATATAACGAATTATGAATTATGATTCAAATCGGGGTATGAATCTTCCAAACAAACAACCCCTGATACGGTGATTATAAGAATAGGACTTTCGGGGGTTGGAGAGATAAGTGGAGCCATACCAGATCCCACGTAGCTTTCTGTTCATGACGTACAAGAGTTTTTTGCAGTTAGAAATTAAAAATGAATATTAAATTAAACCGCGACCTGATTCGCCGATTTTTTGCCGGCATATGTACGCTTCGTGACTCATGAATCATATTGGACCCCATACACCTGCCGTATTTCAATTATTTTTCTACTGTTTTTATATGGAGAATTTTCGTAGTTATACAACGTGTGAAAAAATATCTTATTAGTATACAATTGTAGGGCGGAGATTTAAGTACCGTGAGCTTTTCAGATTTTGTTGAAGGGATAGAGGGGGCAAATATTATAGTTTTTGAAACGGTTTTACAACGATTGAAGTAAATAATATATTTATCTTATATAAATACAGTGCTAAATAAATTATTTATGTTTAGTATTTACCCGTACCAATAAATTTACTATCAACTTTATCGTTTTAAAAATATGTTATTTACAACGATTATTGTTTGTTAAATTGGTCCATTTGTTTTAATGTAATATATTTTTAATATAATTTTTTAGGATTAATTCAGGAATGTCGAGGGCATAAAAAGTGAAAATCTTCCAAAATAAATGTGTCTGATGCAGATAAAAAACCTATTAGGCCCCGTTCGCTTTGTGTGTTCGAATTGTGTGGATTTAAATCTTTGAGTTTGAACTTAATTATATGTGAGTTTTCTGTAGTTCGAAATGGCGTTTGTAAGTGTAAAATCTAAACGATAAATAAAATTTGAACTATCGTTTGGTTACGTTATTAGAACTATGAATTTTTGAATTTGAGTTTTGAATAGTTGATTGGGTTAGAACCTTAAGAACTTTGGGAGAATAAAGTTGAGTTCAACTTCAATTTTGGATTCAAATGAATCCTAAATCTAAATTCAAGTTCAAAATGATATGCAATCAAATAAGAGTTTAAACTATATTTTGAGTTCAAACCCTCCAATTAAATAGCCTATTTATTTAAGGATAGGTGCGGTAATTTTCTCTAGATTTATATTTAAATTGCTCAGGGAACCTGACCTGACCAGTACCACTCAAGGCAGTAGTAAGAATAAGAGAATCAGTCTTCAGCACCACAATATACCAAGCTAAGGCTGCGTTTGGTATTGCTTTTCGCTCTAAAAATTAGCTTCTGCTTGTAGCATAAGCTTATTTTAGTGTTTGGTAAATCTCATCAAAAGTGTTTTTTGAAAAATTTTTGAAGAATGTACTATCAAAATAAAAAACAGCCCAAAGACAACTTTAACTTTTAGATTGTACGGGAATCAACATAGTACAATTAATAAAACTTTCATAATACTCATAATACCCCTAATGAAATTTAAAATTTACAATCTTTCCAATCTAAAATATTCATACTCGTAATATAATATAATATACTAATACAATAATATAATAGTAATATTATAACAAATAATATCATAATTGTATTAATAACTTTAATATTATTATTTTATCATATATTATGATATTATAATAATATTATAATTATTTTAATAATATGATATTATAATTATTATTTTATAATAATATTATATATTATATTGTATTGATATAATTATATTTATTATATTAATAAAAATATGATATTAATAGTATAATATATCATAATTATATAATATGTTATTTAATAATAGTTTTATTATATTCTATTAAATATAATAATAAATATATATTATATTGTAATTATATATTATATTCTATTATAATATAATCGTAATTTTTAACTTTTTACATTAATTTAACATTATAATTTATTAAACGCTATTACACTGATTTTAGAACCAGCACATCTACTATAATTATAGTTTACCAAATACTCAACTGTTTTTTATAATAACTGTTTTTTCTTTTAGCACAACTAAAAACAATTTTTCTAAAATCTAGAACAATACCAAAGCTAGCTTAAGGACACTGCTCACGAGCAGCAAGACAGCAATCGGAGTTCGGTAGAAATGATACTATCTGAGTTTGTGCTTATATGGTTTTTTACTTTTGTTTTTACAAATCTTTTAAACTATGACCAGACTTAATATATATAAAAATTTGTAATTAATTAATGAGGGTATAAATGACATTTTACAGGATAAACAATCAGCCATATGCAGTTGGACAATCAGCCATATGCAGTTACTGCAGTGCCAAGCTTGCAGAAAGTCGATCATTTTTGGGCCTTTGACAAGAATCAGTTTCACCATTTATGGCAATGAAGGAATTTTATGTTAGGAATGTTCTAGCGTTCAAGCACGTTTCTTAATGTTACATTATAATCATTATTATAACAAAAATAATAATATGTCAACTTCCACTTAACTCTTTTTATTTTTTGACATTTTAACTCTTTTTCATAGTTTTCTCTTTTTTGATTGAAATTAACCTCAACTGAACTTGGTGAATATTCCAAATTCTAGAGTGTTTTTTTTTTTTTTTTTTGAATATCGTCCTTTTTTTTTCATAGCGCTTCGAAGTCATTTTCATTTCACCACCATCGAGGTAAAATGGTAACCGACTGAATTACCTACCACTATTGAAGCAAAGAAAGAAATGTGAGAATTCAACTAGTACAGTTATTCAGAAAAAAAAAAAAAAAAAAAAAAAAAAAAACCAAGCAAAACCCCTTTTTCAAAACCCAACAAAAAAAAAAAAAAAAAAAAAAAACCTAGTGCAGTTATATTGCCAACTTTATTCTTGATCACTCGTTTCTTCAGTCTTGCATTGCAAGCAACTAATTTGTCAGCAAGGGAACTCTTTTTTTCATTATTTTTTTCTACAACCGAGCATTTTATGAAAATAACCAACATCAAAGGGAAGAGAAAATGAAAGAACATATTAGAAGGAACATTATTTGAAACACAACTTCTTAGATTAACTTCAAACCAAAAGAACACAAATATTGAATCGAAAGATTAACTGCACATTACTTTTAAATATGATTCTTGGCTGTGACAAAACTATTTGAGCAAGTACATAGATCGGTCATTGGCATATCCTCTCTCGTTTCTTATTTCCCATCTGATTCTACAGAGGCTGAACAGTTAAGGCCCAGTTGTTTTTTCCCTTTTTTTTGGGGGGGGGGGAGGGAATGGCAAATATCTCAAAAATTACTTGTAAAATATTGTTCTATAAAGGGGAAAATAAGGTAGCCAAACCTTGATCAACTGCCAGTTGAAATTTATCATAGGCCATCAGGGTCTTCTGATCACACTTGTAAGTTCCTTTGCCTCTGGCCAAGACTTCACCGTCCGAGTCTATTATCCCTTCCCTTGTTGGATCTTCTGCAAGTGGACCGGGTTCCAAAATGAATGCTTTCACCTGTAGTGTAAAAAGACAAATTTGAATTTGATCAAAAGGCTAATTTTACATTTTCTCCAGCAAATCCTTTTCCTATTAGTAAACAAAGGATGATAAATTCTCCTGAAAAAGGTATAAACCTGAAAATATAAAAGTGCTGTAATTTGATTCACTCACCTTTAAGTATGTAACATAAGGTGAATTGACATGATTCCCATTGTTCAGTTCCCCCATCAATGAGAGCAAGGCTAATTTTGGGCAGTCCCTCATGATGATCAAGTCAATATAGCCATCTGAAAACTGCACATCACAAGGCAAAAAGAAATATGGCGGGCAGTTAAACTATAACGTATAACCTATGTGAATGTTACTATCTGTAATATGACGTCAAGATTTAGATTCATGTCAAAGATTAAACCAATTTGTCTAGAAAAAAAAGGCAAAAAGAAGAATAAGAACTGTAAAGGAAGAAGTATCAAATTGCAGCGCACATATCAATTAAAGCGTAGCCGGACCTTGGCCTGAGGCGCTGCCATTGTGTTTTCACTCCCCCAAGGTACATTGTGAAGCCAAACTGAAACAAATGGTCCATTAATGGTTCTCCAGTCCATAATATGCAAATCACTGTCAGGTCCTTGGTATCCATGCCTTTGCAACTTCACAGGCTCCACTTCAGTTGGACCGCCAACATTTTGCTTACTAGTAGTTTCACTCTTATAACTAGTAGGTTCTCCATATCCTTCAAAGCCAGGTGCGGGCACAAAAGAAATACGCCCATTGTATTTCCTCAAACTAAAAACTCGTTGTAGACCCTAAGGAACAAAAAGCCATGTGAAAGTAAGGAATTTGATCTCACACGAGGAATGAAGAGATATATGAACATATAAAGTTAGCAGTATAGTATTATGACATTTCTTTTCAGATATGAACTCTTCTTGCATACAAACTAATTAAGAGAACAAGTAACTTCGTTCAAATTCAACCAAATAAAGGAGAAATATTTATTTTTCTCAAAATACTAGTAGCTTCTGATAATAGAATAACAGTCAAGAAAGTCTTTACGATAAGAATGATTCTCTCAGTAGATACAGAAACAAATTACTAAGACGAGCAGTAGTATAATCACATTGGAAATAGGGAAACAAGTTAATGAGACATACATAGAAATCAAGACGAGCACTTCCCATCCACCGATACTTTTCAGACTCGATGTCAATATCTGCTATCAGACCTGATATGAATGATCACAGAATCAGGAAAAATATCCATAAGAATTATACTAGTACAACCCAATAACATACTTCATTCATGCATCAACACAATATAGAGCTGATTGTACTTTGGCTTACCCCATGCAAGCATCAATACGCTAAAGAATTTGGTCTCCCCTTGCAAGATTGTAGTTACGTCTAGTGGGCGCTTGTGGCCTATCAGTAGGAAAAACATGAAAACATTGTTCCATCAAAACTAATAGAAAAGATTAGCATAACAAGAGAAAAAGTTCCACTGAACACAATATCTAACCTCGAATAATGGCAAGAACAGCATTAAATACAGCACACGGTTCACCAACAGAATCCAGAAGAGATTTTGCCATACCATTGCCAGTACCTATATGGTAACATTCTTGTCAAAAATTTTGTTTTAAACAAGTCCGTAGAACGCTCATTTTCATTGACTAAATAGACTTATAAAAGGTATATTCGCCAAATAACAATTTATCCTGAAAAAAACTAAAACTAAACCACCATTACATTTTTTTTTAAAGTAAGACACAATGTGTGAGAGAAAGAGCATGATGAACCTGCAGGAACGACTCCAAGAGGCGTCTTTATAGCAGTTTCCCAATCTCCTCTTTCAAGCAGTCCATTTACAATCTACTACAATGTGCAAAATTTGTAAGAACAGTAACGTACAATGGAAGAGAGAACAAAACCTTTCACAAATATGTCATATACATAAACAAAAACAAAATCCCAAAAAGAAAAATCTTAATAATTATGGCAAACAAATACGCCAATTTTAAGTAAATTCTTCAGACTAGTTGCTTTCGCAACCACATAGAAGTATTCCTACTAAACAAAAAACATAAAATACTGTTCTTCAAGTAGTCACTAATAGCCACCAACCTCAACAAGAATCCCATCCCCGCTAACACAAACAATGCCGTCATACTTCGAAAGATCCATTGTTTTAGCCACTTCTTTTGCATGCAATTGATATTTGGTTTCTGCCGATTTGATCAAGAAAATAATTAAGAAAAAAATTACCATCCAAACTTCAGGAACCATATGCATAAAAGTTCATAGTTTAATGATTTGATTGGATCCAAACCTTGCAATGTTAACTGGATATCAGCATCCTCAAGAAGAGGTTTTACTTGATCAGAAAATATCTTCGAAGCTGATTTCTTCCCACCAAATGGATTGACAAACACATATAGCCTCTTAGGCCGGCCTATCACAAATACAAGAGATTATGTAGAACAATTACAAGCTATGAATTTCATTTTCCAAAATGAAAGACATTATACTAATAAGAACACTAATTTAACTTTATACAAAATAGATAACATTCAACTTTGTTTTGGTTTATTCAAATTGGACACCAAAAGTTCGAACCTTAAAAACTTTCCTTCATTTTCCCGCATTTTCCCCACAACCAAACACATGAAAATCCAAAAACGAATACATAAAGCCGAAAAAAAAAATTTACCAAGAGAACACTAATTTAACTTTATACAAAATAGATAACATTCAACTTTGTTTTGGTTTATTCAAATTGGACCCCAAAAGTTCGAGCCTTAAAAACTTTCCTTCATTTTCCCCACAACCAAACACATGAAAATCCAAAAACGAATACATAAAGCCGAAAAAAAAAATTTACCAAGAGAATCGATGAATTCACGGAGCTTCAGGCACAAGAGCTTCTGCGAGTCCTCAGACGAGAACAGAAAGACGAAGTTCTTCCGCACCAGAGCTCCCCTGCTCCCGAAGCAGAGGATTCCGCCACCGCCTTCCACGACGGTCCTTATCTCGAGCTTCGAGCCGTCCGTCGCGAAGCCGAGGACCTCCTTCTCGACGGTCAAACTCCGTTGACCGCCCTCCGACCACCGGATGACGCCGTCAGCTGACAGCGTTAACGGCGTATAAACGCCGTTGACGGCGACCCTATCGGAGAACACGGGTCGCCGCGATTGCTCTGGCTCGGGTTGGTCCATGTCGCCGTTAATCGGTTCAGGAGTCGTTTTCGGTTTTTTTTTAGTTGAAATATTGAGAAAACCGGTTTGCTTGGAACCTTTGGATTGGTGGTATTAGGGGAGAGTCGTGAGGAATAAAAAATTTAAAAAGTAGAAATAAAGAAAGTTCGATTGTTGGGAGCGAAACGGAAAGAAGGAAAAACGTCGATGCGTTGGAGTTGGAGAAGTGTCTCGAGGTGTACGCCAAGTAGCCAAAGTTTGTTTATTTCAGTTTGGTTTGATAACGCCACGCGCCTTTGGCGGCTGCTCTATTATTTCTCTGTTCTCACAGGTTTTTCTATTTTGGTTCTTAAAAAAAAATAGAGTTTTTCCTATATTCCCTCTAATAAAATTGACGTTATGTCTTTAGAATTAATAAAAGGTAGTTGCATGTTAGTTTTATCTTTTTACAACTCAAATTATAATTTAAATTTTTTTATTACAATACTATTTTTATAAAAATTTAAATTTAATTTTTTTATTATAATGTTTTCTCTCACATAAAAATATTTAAATTTTAATTTGAGTTGCCAAAACAACACACTTAATTATACATTTTGAAAAATAATCGTGCCATTTGTAAAACATTTTAATTTTCAAGTGTTTCACGAACATTAAGATGACGTTTGGTTTATATATTCAGAATCATGATTTAAAATTATTTTCATTTTACGTGTATTTTGTGTGAGATAAAATACCGTAGAGAACTATAAATCATGATTCATAATCATTGACGAATATAGGAAACAAATTTCACCTAAAAATAACGTTTCGCTTTTTATATGGCTGTTTTGTAAACTTTGAGCTATCACGTGATGGTCTTGTGATTGAATTTTAATAATTTTCATCCTTAATTTTATGTTCAAATACGAAAATTGTCAAAAGAAAAACTTTAGGTGTAATGAAGTTTAGAATGTTCTTCTTCTTCTTTTTTTTTTTTTTTTTGTAAGTTTAAAATTAAAACTGTCAACAACCAAAAAATCTAGTCGCTCCTGTTGGTGATATCCTATAAAGATAATGTGCAACTTTTTTTTTTTTTCCCCTCTTGCTCCAGAGGATAAGGTTCAACCTACCATACATTCTCATTTCTCAGCCATTTTCTTCTTATTTTATCTCTTCCCCGTCGATAATTCTTATGCAATCATTTTTGAATAGATCTTGTTGCTATTTGAATGACGGTAAAGATCCTTTATTCATATCCATATTTGCAATTGTTTTCACATTAAAATGTCTAACCGGACCACCAATCTGGTCTTATTAGAATAACTCGTTTGTTTTATGCGTTTAAATTTATAATTTTGATTATGTTTTAGTGTTTTTATCTTAAAAAAAATTAAATTTCAAATATCAAAATAAAAAAATATTAATTTAAACGCATCAAATAAATAAGTCATGATAAATAAATTGAAGATAATGTCAAAAATTCAAAAACGCACCAGCCTCATATCTTGAAAAAATCTCTCCCATACCAACTTATTTGTTTGTGTGAAGTACACTTGAATGAATAAATATGATTTTTTTTTCTGCACGTCCCAACCTTAGGAGGTTTACGACCTTTTCTTTAATAAATGTAATACTGTACTATAAATGCAATCATTAAATTTATATACATTAATGTATTCTTTTTTTTACGGGCATTAAGGTATTTAATTCTTATGTACATATACATTTAAAACGGTGTTGTTGTTGGTTTCATGATGTTATACACGAAGCCATTTCTTTTTTTTTTTTTTTTTTTTTTTTTTTTTTTCTTTTTTTTTTTTTTTTTTTTTTATGATTCTCATTCTTTTATTTTCTTTTTTCTTTTCTTTTTCCTTTTTTTTTTGTTGGCTAAAAGTGGTAAGCTTCTTAGTTGGCCACTCTATAAACGTGTTGTTGGTTTCATGAGGGCATAATATGTTTGCTTTCAGCCAGTGCCGGGATTGTCGGCGGTTTCTAATGGTTTACCGACCGGAAACTAGATGGTAACTCGTATCACAGTGGATACTAGCTGGTATTAATATAGATATTGTCGTCTCGTTTATTTCACCAATTTGAATTTTGTTACAGTAAAAAATTTTCAAAAATAGTCACATTTAACTTTTTTATTACAGTAAAAAATTTTTACATAAAATCACATCTCAAATCGAATTAAAAACTCAAATCAGCAAACTAAACGAGTCATAAAACTATATTTGGTAATTTAAAAATAAAGTATTGACACACGTTATTTTCTGTAATAAAATAAGTCAATCCAAGCATTGGAAATAAGGTATTTGTGTTAAGAGCCCAACCGTGATTTTATGGGCCGGGCCTATAAGAACAAAAACCCACAAAACAAACCAATCAAAAGGCCCGAACCGGCCCGTTAAGACTGAGAAACGAGTTGTTTCTGTGCACCTTTTTTGGCGCAGCAAAGAGCGAGCAACGATGGCAGATGAGGTCGAACAACAGCCAATTGAGGCCGCGCCGTCGCGGGGTCGCCACATAGCGAAGAGGGCTCTCAGAAATAAAGCTCTTTCCATCACTTTCGACGAGAAAGATCTCAGGTAACAAGCTTTTTCAATCATATTATCTTAATCCACGAGTTGTGTTTTGAACTTGGGTTTTTTGGTCTGAGAAGGAACTATGTAACTGGGTTTCACAAGAGGAAGAAGAAACGAAGAAAGGAAGCCCGGAAGCAACAAGAGGAGGCTCAAAGGAGAAAGCGCATTGAGGAGCGCAAAAAGGTTTTTTTTTTTTTTTTTTTTTTCCAATACCATATACTATATTCCACTTGGTGCTATTTGTGTATGTATCTTTTGTTGCGAAGAGTTTTATATATATGTGTGTGTGTGTGTGCGCGCAGATGGATTGAATCCCAGTTGGGGTGTGTGTGTGGTTTTTTTTTTTTTTTTTTTTTTTTAAATGATCAAAAGAACCTAATTGAGTTTTACGGAATTCAGAAGAAATTTGCAAAATGATTAACTTTTTTATTGTTTGTTTAAGAGTGATCAAGCCATTAAGGAAAGGGGTGATTCTGGGTTAATTATGTTGCCTACTCTCTATGCTATTTTTGTAAGAAAGTCATGAAGCTATGGCTGTATTAGTTTGTCATAACTCATATGGGATATGGTGTCTCAATAACCCTAGTTCTCCCTCCTTTTTCCCTTTTCTTTTTCTGGACCTTTAGCACATTATTTTGTCTAAGACGTTGTTTTTCTTAGAGGGTCAAATCTAAGTTTTGTGATTTTTCTATTTAACTTTTTCATGTAAAAGAACTCCAATCATGATTTAATGACGAACGAAGAACTTGGTACGGATCATTTCATGTATCTGATCTAACAATTGCAAGAGTTGGGATTTTGTTTCATGCATTAGCACTAATTCAAACAAGGTATTGCATTTGTAGTCTATATATATACATATAATCATATATATGTGGAAAATTGTGAAGACATGAACATAGTTCATACTTATCAACCTGCAGCAGCGTCATTTTTGGAAGTAGAAGCGTACTTATTTTAGCTTATTGGCTTCTAATAAACCTTGACTGGTAGGTGTTTTCTGAGAAGAAAATAAAAGAGACACTCTGATGTGTTGAGTGAATCTAAACTATTCACGTTGGCTCCACCTAGTGAGAGCTTTTAATAGTCGAAGCGTGTAAAATTGATGGTATTATGTGTTATACCACGGAAGCCTTCTGCCAAAACCTCTCTGTTTTTCAACACTGATTTAGATTCAAGACTATTTATGACGTCATTAATGTTTGGTCATATTTTGAAGATGCTTTGAAGGGGATTGTGGGACTGTAAGGAATGTGATTTCAAAGATGCTAGGAAGTGGATTGTGGGACAGGAAGGGTTGTGACAAATAAACCAAACTGCCCTAGTTCTAATTGGCAACCGTGTTTATTTTCTCGGTTTTTTCATGATTTCATTATGTATCTGCTGCATGTGTGCAATTGCACGGCGGATTATGACAGATGACAGTCCTGCTTGCGGACAGCAATCATGTATCTTTTCTAGTGTTTTATGATTTTTCAATGCATCCACTGCATGTGAATTCACCCTCACATTGCATGTCCATGTTCTTACATGAAAGTTAAGAGAACATCTGAGCGTTCATTTTCTTATGTGGGGTAAGTTATGTTGCAGAGGAGGCTAGAAAGAGATATTGCCTTATATGGTGGAGCTCCACCAGCTGCTGATTCAATAGTCAATGGCAGTGACAGTGAGTTCAGTGAGGAGGATGAAGATAGTGATCCAGTTCCGTCAGTTTCTGGTATAATTCTTAAACCCATTTTACCACATTCAAACCCGAAACATACATTAGCTACAAAGTCTATGTTTGTCTTATTATATTACACTGGTAGCATATTGTAAGCTGGGCTAGGTTAGGTTAGGTACCTTGGTTTGCTAGGCCCACTTACCAATTACCCCACATTCCTAACTTATTCTATTTTGGCATTACGGGACAGTTTCGATTCCTCATGGTTATCATTTTGGTTGAATTCAAATGACACGGATGTCTATTGTCATAATACTCTTGATAAAATGCCAAAGGGACAGACCGCCTTTTTCTTCGTACCATCATGATGCCTCTGTACCGGTAACCACAGTTGTAAATGGAGGACTGATGAATTTAGACATGTTCAGAGTCACCTTCAAGAATCACATCTATCAATGCTAAACAATGAAACCATGTCAAATTTGCCTGTTTCAAATGCACTAAAAACACTTAAAAAAACTTTTCTGCATATTATTTCTTCCATTATACATGCCAAAAATTTGAGTACTATATATTCTATAATGCGCAAGTCTTGTGCTTAACCATCATCTGATTGTGATCTTTTCATTTTTGTTCGCAGGCACATCAACATATGACAATGGTGACCTAAAAGTCACGGTGACAACAAGCGAAATCTCTCGCGAGGACGAAGCCTTTCCAATTGAAAAGATAGGGGAACGGGCGGTAGCCCAATCTGTTACCGCTCAAAGAAAGCACAATGTGCCTGTGACTAAGAAGAAACCGTTCAAGAGAGTTGCGAGAAGTAAATCGAGGCCAAAATCCCACAACAGAAAAGATAAGAAGAAAGCAAAGAAAAAGGGCAAGAAAGGGAGGTAGCTGATTAGGAACTTCCTCTTGGTTCTGTGGCTTTAGTCCTTGCTTCAAAGTTCAAACAGGTCTTAAATCTGTGTGGCTATAATTTTGACGCTCTCTTATCTAACTTGTTTGTCTCTTTAAAGGATCATGTGGTTCCACAACATAACAAAAACATAAAGAGTGGTCCACATGTGAATGCCTTAATGATTTTATCTTGGGAGCATTGTTGCTATCAAAGTCTGTTATCATGTAATTGTCAATGAAAAGATGCTCATTCACTCTTGTATTTTTTAAAAGAAACTATTCGTGGTTGATAATCCAATAATGTTTTGAATGGTTTATGTTTTATTAGCACTAATAAAAAATTATTTTAAAGTAAGGCACTAGTTTTGATTATTTATTTTTGTCACTGCTATGTCGGTTGGCCAATAATTATCGCAGCACAAGATGACAAATAGCCAATTTGTAAATGAAGTAAAATTAATGGTTGTTTGTTTGGTTGGTTTTCTTGTTTAATGTTTTTTTTTTTTTCTTTGTGTCGGAAAATAATTGCAGAATTGAAAATCCCTGAATCAAAAAGATCCAAATACTAAACTCTTGCCCTAATATAAAGTCATGCGACCACCTCCCTGAGTCCCTGACTCAGTGACGGTTCTCCGACGAGTCGCAAGGAATCGCATCCATCGACAACCACCTACTGTGATGAACGACACCATCGTGGCACATGATCTCCCGGTGACAAATCTCTTTGGGACCTGAGCTTTTCATGAAAACGCAACCCAACAAGAAGCAACGCTTGATTGCAAAGATGACATGTTGCGAAATAGCAAATCTAGGAATTCATTTATTTGAAAAATCCGGCTGTTTCTAGGTTTTAGAAAGTACATCCATGTACAATAATTTCTGTTACTATAAATAATTACTTGAATTTTGGTAGCACTTTTTATTTCTTTTATTTCAATGTAAGGAAAACAAAAAAAAAATCCTGGTTTAAATATATGACTTTTCACTCCAAGCTGTGGCTTGTATTCCCTTCTTGTTGTGGGTCCTTTTCCGGAAGAGAAAATACAAGGTTCCTTAATTGACATACTTGTGCACGACCCACGTATCAAAAATACTTGTGCACGAACCATAATGATGGACGTATAATTGGGACCACCGATTATTCATTTCTCAATTCTATACTTTTGTGCTTGAAAATTTGATTGCATTTTGAACAGAAATATAGAAAATTCAATTTTGTAATTTTTTTTAAGGAATATTATCTGATACACTTAACGTATTAGTAGATCATGTTTTTTTAACTATTAAATCTGCGTATTTTTTTTTATTTTTACGTGTATTTTATACATATTTAACAGATACAAAATTTGACTTACAACATACAAAAAAGTCTATTTTTTTTTTTAAATTTGACTTACAACATACAAAAAAGTCTATTTTTTTAAAAAAATAAAAGAAAAATGAAAACGTAGGCAGTTTCAGTTGTGGTCCACATGCACCTGACCAGTTCAACAACTGTAGTACCGAACAAAGGAGACTAGGAATCAACCCATCATTACCCATACTTGTTCTTTGTAAGGTCCTTGGAGGCATAAATAATTGGGTTTTTTTTTTTTTTTTTTTTTTTTTTTGAGAATTTGTGAAATCATGCGGGGACTTTAAAATCTACCTTTACTTTCACGTGCTTTAGTGCTGGATTGCACTACACTTTAACTACTTGGTCAAGCGAATTATTTTTTGTTTCTTTTTCTCTTTATTCCTCATCCATAACATGCATAAAAAAATTAGCCGAAATTCAAATTGTATATACTAATATTTTTTGTTAGTAGATAAGCGTTCATCTCACACATTCACGAAATACATTAGGGCCCGTTTAGTTTGCTGATTCAAATTTTTAATTCGAGTTTAGATGTGATTTTATGTAAGAGCTTTTTACTGTAGCAAAAAAGTTAGATGTGATTATTTGTGAGAGTTTTTTACTGTAACAAAACTCGACTTAACGAAATGAACGGGGCCGTAACATCTTGATGGGATTTGGTTGGAAAGTGAGGTAAAATTAGGGTTAACAGTAAGCGTTTATGAGGTAACATTCTAATGCCGTTTCGGCTTGTTTTTTTTGTCCTTACTGCCTAGTCTTTGAATTGTCCAATTTTGGGCTATGTTTCTTTATGCCGTATTGGCATTTTCCAAAATTTCTAGTCCGACTAGATAATTCCATATTTTCAAATCTCATCATCGCCATCCAATATCTACTTGAAAGGGATTTGGGAAAACAAAAGAAGAAAAGGTGAAATTGATTTTGATTCCATTTTCACCTCACCTTTAATTTGACTAAAATAAAACTGTCTTATTTATCATATTTCAATTTAAATGATCAATTAATGACACATTAATGCCAATATTTGGACAAAGGAAGTGGGTTCCAGAATCCAAACACAAAACGCCAAATCCAACGGTCCGTATCACTTTAGACAAGTCCTCACGGCACATGGTGTGCACACGCGCACACACAACACAAACAAACACCTCTCCTCTCCAAATCTTATCCATCACGTGGCAGAATGTTTAAAAAATTGGAAAAAGATTCCCACCAATCGGCGGTGTAGATCAGACTAGGTAGGCTCCAGAGAGATCTCAGCCAACTACCACTGATAAGATAAATAAGAAAAAGAAAAAAGAAAATTAAAATCATAGTACAGTACAGTAGAAGTTGGACAAAAGAAAAAGGCGATTTTCTCGGATGTTTCGTAAACGTTAGCTGAGAAAATTCGCAGACGCTTCGACGAAACTTCTCTCAGATTCTCAAAAAAAAAAATCCCCTTCAAAAACTCTCTTCGCTTCCACTTTCCCGCTCGCTTTTCTCTTTTCCGTTTCTCTTTTCTTCTTCTTATCTTGTTGATGATTTGGTTTTGATTCTGATTCCGCTTGATAATATGTAAAAAATTCGCTCTCTTTTGGATCGGACGTTGTTTGGTTGCCGAGAAAGTAACTAGGGAAGTGAAGGAAAGGAGAGAGAGAGAGAGAGGAGTAGAGGAATTCTTAGAGAGAGAGAGAGAGAGAGAGAGAGGAGTAGAAGAATTCTTTTGGTTTTGTTGTTGTTGTTTTTTTTTTTTTGGGGTTGTTTTCTGCGCGAAATGGACGATTCAAGACAAACTTTGAGGTAATAAGGTCGAAAAGGTTCAAAAAGTTGTGTCTTAATTTCGATTTTTGATTTTTTTTTATTTTGTTTTGGCGATTTTGTTTCTCGCACTTTCTCAGCAACCAAACGGGGAGGTTTAGGTTGGACGCGATGAAGATGCAAACTAGGTACATGGAGAGATCGAACAGCGTGGTGAGGGAAAAGCGAGGTTTGGATTCAGCTTCAGCTGAAGAAGGTCAGCCGGATAGGAAAAGACCTGCTCTTGCCAGGTATTTCCTTTTTCAAAAGCTTCATTTTTTCTACAATTTGTTCAACTTTTGAGTTCTTTATTATCAGTGTTCTTTATTTTTATGTTTATTTTTATCATTATTCTTTTTGAATATGGTGACTACGTTGAGCGAGATGAACGTTACAGGTAGGTGAGGATTAGTAAGTTGTGTCCCTCTGACGGTTCTTTTGTAGCAGGAAATATGAAATCTTTCAATATGTGAAGCTTTATGTGTGACAAATATAATATTCGAGTTCAACTAAGACAAGAGATACTATACTTGTTGGGATACTGGGAATAAGAGAATAGAATAAGTTATTGATTTAATTATTTACTTCTTAGTTCTTTTTTTCCACTTCTTATAACCTTTACTTTTAAGTGTTAGATTAATTCCTCTTAAAAAAAAAAGAAGAAGATTAACAATTTGTATCGCTTGGACTTGTGATAATTTTGGTGGGTTTTTGTAATCGTGAACTCGTTATTAATTGTCGTGTTGAATTTGAATGTAGCGTAATTGTTGAAGCTCTAAAGGTGGATAGTCTGCAAAAACTTTGCTCTTCACTGGAGCCTATTCTTCGTAGAGTTGTAAGATAGCTTAGTCTCCTTTAAAAGTCAAACAATTTTGGAGTTCTTTTTCAATTTTCAAGGTAGTATTCTTAATTAGCTACCTTTAATGCTTAACAGGTTAGTGAAGAAGTGGAGCGTGCTTTAGCAAAGCTAGGCCCTGCCAAACTCACTGGGAGGTATTACAATTTTTCTTTTAAACTCTTTTTGTCGGCTGCTTTTAACTCTCACTTCAGTATGTTTCTTCAGATGTTTATTCTTCTAATGGTTAAGAACTTGCAGGTCTTCCCCAAAACGTATAGGAGGGCCTGATGGAAGAGACTTGCAGCTGCACTTCAGGTCGAGGTTGTCGCTCCCTCTCTTTACAGGTGGGAAAGTAGAAGGAGAGCAGGGTGCTGCAATCCACATTGTCTTGATTGATGCCAATACAGGCCACGTTGTCACAATAGGCCCAGAATCCTCCGTGAAACTAGATATTATTGTGCTCGAAGGTGATTTTAACAATGAGGATGATGATAACTGGACTCAAGAAGAATTTGACAGCCATGTGGTGAAAGAGCGTGAAGGTAAACGGCCGTTGCTAACTGGAGATCTTCAAGTGACGATGAAGGAAGGTGTAGGAACACTAGGGGAGTTGACATTTACCGACAACTCTAGCTGGATAAGGAGCAGGAAGTTCAGGCTTGGACTAAAGGTTGCCTCCGGCTCTTGTGAGGGTATTCGAATTCGTGAAGCAAAAACAGAAGCATTCACTGTTAAGGATCATCGGGGAGAATGTGAGTTGATAACTAGTGGCTATACTTTTATTCCATATTTCGTGTGTTTCTCTTTCTTTTTTAAAAATGATTAAATATTTTGGTTTTCAGTATACAAGAAACACTATCCTCCTGGACTAAATGATGAAGTTTGGAGATTAGAGAAAATTGGCAAAGATGGGTCCTTTCACAAGAGGTTGAATAAAGCTGGAATCTATACAGTTGAAGATTTCCTGCGACTTGTGGTTAGGGATTCACAGAGATTGAGAAATGTGAGTGGGATTTATTTGTTTGTCAATTGATCTTTGTAAATGGATGTATATGTGTCTGTATATCTGTGTACGTACACACATGCATATATATGAACACAGCACACGCACACACACACACTCTTATTTATATATATGTTGTAGATACTAGATACAAGTACTGAAGTACTTATATTGTAGATACATGGTGCATTTTCTAATTCATTGTTCAAATGCTTCAGATTCTTGGAAGTGGCATGTCAAATAAGATGTGGGATGTTCTTGTAGAGCATGCAAAGACGTGTGTCCTAAGTGGGAAGCTTTATGTGTACTATCCTGATGACGAGAGAAGTGTTGGCGTTGTTTTCAACAATATCTATGAGTTGAGTGGCTTAATTGCCAATAGTCAATATTACTCTGCCGATTCTCTTTCTGACAGTCAGAAGGTAAAGAAATTTGTCTGTTGCAAGTGACTACGAAATTCCATAATAATAAGCTAAAATAATCCTGTTCTGTAGTAGTTTTAACTTGATTGTAGCTTCTTTTTTTATTTTTTATTTTTATTTTTTTTTACTTTTAAGTTATGCCAAATTATTGGCTGAGAAAACTGTGAATGGTTGTGGTCCTTGTAGGTCTATGTGGACACTTTGGTGAAGAAGGCATATGACAACTGGATGCATGTTATAGAGTACGACGGAAAGTCTCTTTTAAGCTCTCAGTCGCATAACAGTTCCTGTGCTTCTGAAATGATTACTCCAATTGCCTCTCAAGATTATTCCAACTCGTTTGACCAGCAGTTCACGCTACCAGCACTGCCGGTTGCTGTTCCTTCAGAGCAGCCCACTATCGATCCAGGCCTCACTGGTATATATTCCGCAGTACAAAATCGTTATATATTTGAATTCCTAACTTAAGCTTGAAACTTTGCCAAGGACAGTTAAAAGTGTGGCAACTCAAATTATGGCTGCTAATTAATGATAATGATTCAGAAAAGCAGTCATCACCCGCTACTGTGCTGTAATGCCTAACTATTCTCCTTTAATGCTCAATCACTAAGACCAAATCCCGGGGTGTACATTGGTGTGGGTTGTAGTGTGACCATTTTAAACCCACCTGTCACTCCTAAGAAATAGCATTTCTGATTATAAAAGAAGTTTTAGTTTTTGTTCCCCAATTTGTATTTACTCTGTTTTATTCAAGTTGAATCTTTGATTTGGTTGCTAACGGTGCATGATCTCTCCGTCCAGGCTACAATGACGGTATGGCTACCAGTTTCTCTATACCGTCACAGAATGCAAATCTCAATGCTCCTGTTAGCTTCGTTGGCTCTTCATTCGCTTTACAAAATCAGTTGCCCAGCACATCAAACCAAACTCAACTCCAAAGAAGTGAAAATGTTCTTACCCTTGGTCCTCCACAGTCATCCACATCAGGCTTCCAGAATGTTGGTGCATCCAATCTCACATCCTTTAGGGGAGTGGACGACTTCTTCTCGGAGGAAGAGATTCGTATGAGAAGCCATGAGATGCTTGAGAATGAAGATATGCAACACTTGCTTCACATATTCAACATGGGAGGCCACGGTCACGTTCCCAACGTTGTGGAAGATGGGTACCCCTATTCATCAGGGTACATGCCCAATACATCCCTCAACTACAACCTCAACGATGACCGAACCCGTTCTGGAAAAGCTGTTGTTGGTTGGCTTAAGCTCAAGGCAGCCCTCAGATGGGGCATTTTTGTCAGGAAGAGAGCTGCCGAGAGACGTGCTCAACTTGTTGAGTTGGATGATTCATAAACGTGGCACACAGGGCAAAGCAGATCCGGTTTTGGTTTTTCAACTGTCAATAGGCTTCATCTTCTGTGTCTACCCAAATTCCCTATCGGGCTGAAGTTTCTAACAGAAGCAATGACTCCGGTCTCAGCTTGAGCCGTCCGGTTTTAGCTCCTAAATCTAAGCACCAGCCATTGCTTGGATTGTAAACCTGACTGACGTCTTGGAACTTCTATGTTTGTACAGTTTCCTGCCTGTACAGTAAGCGAGCTTTATCCCATCTGATTATTAGCGTGGTTTTACTTTTTAAGGAAGGTGTTACTCAACATCTATTTTGCAAGCCTAGAAAGAACTGACAGATCTGAGCTGTTTCAACTGAAGATGTTTGCTGACCTGAGACTCACATGATTTTCAGTAGGAAAACGTTTCGCAAGCTTGACTTAGCACGGGCCTAAGCCTCTGAGGTGTTTTTTCTTGTTGCAATAATTGTCCTCATGCTAGTCAGTTCATTGTTGTAATCATAGTTGTTTTTTGTTGTTGTTTTTTTGTTTTTTGGCTGAATGTAGTAGTTAGTGAAGAAGACCAGAACGGTCAGCGTCTGTTTTATTTGTTATTTGTATCTGTAACACGAGAATAAATAATGGTTGCCGTATCAACTGTTATTGCTGGATGATAATAGGTTTTGCTCAATGTCTTGATACTATCTAGTTCTGTAATTTTATTTACTTGACACCTAACAAATTAGGTACTCATGTGATTTACTTTTTATTTTTTATTTTTTATATATATATTAAGCTTTGAAAGTTGCAAAATTAAAGTTTTATTTTAAAAATAATTAAAAAAATGTAAAAGTTGTATTGATTATATGAAAGAAGTGAACATTTTAACCAATAATAATTAAATGTTAAATTTTTCAAAAAATAAAACATGAGAAATTTGATAAAATTGCATTGAAAAGTTTTTTTCACTTAAATATTAAATTTGTTATTGACATATTAATTTGTAATCAGTCTTGAACGACTTTCCTATCCAAGCACAAGTATACCAGTTTTTTTGTTTTGTTTTTTTTGTTTTTTACCAACTCTCTTTTGGAGTGATGTATTTCAATAATAATTAATGCGACATTTCTAAAGGAAACCATGTGACATATATATTTATACATATTTGCTCAAGCAGCATGCGACAATTTTTTGAATGCATGACAATTCACGTGCGTTACATTTGTTGTATCAGACAAAATTTGGATAAAAGTTTAGACCTGTGACATTATTCCTTTCACGTAACTATATGAGAGCTGGAATTTAAGTAAATGTCGTGTTGCATTAGGGTTGATTTGTAATTACATTGAAAGCATCGATAAAAGCCATGTAACATTCGCTCTTTTCGGCTGGGCAAGCAACATTTAGGGCCAAGCCTCCTATGGTCGTTAACTCGTAATTTTTTTTTTTTTTTTTTTTTTGACATTTCTTGTTTCGAATAATTTACAACTGAATAGCTTGTAATCAATAAGCATGTCGTTATGACTTGTGATACACGTGGAGAAACCTATACTAAAACAAAAACATAACCATACGACGTATTTGTTCTTACGATTGAAAAAGAAGGATAAATAAATATGTTACAGCTTTCAACATAATGGCCAGTCATTCTGCTTCTGAGACTTCGTCTTCATCTTCCTCCAGAATGTAGACCAACGCACGTTTTCTTGCAGCAAAAATACAAGCGACACCTCGTGATGCTGCAATACAATGATTCAATTGTAATGCAATAACATATTGATTGTATGCTTTCAGCAAAAAAAGAAAAAGTAGTTATTTCAGCCAAAAAAAATAGAAAGAAAAAAAACAGAACACATTAATATAATCCACACAATTTGGCAATGGGAATTTAACGAGTGGGAAACAATTTGCATGACTTACAGCTAACCGCCAGGGGAGCTACTACAAAATGAGGAATACTCCGAACCTTTTCATTCTCCAGTTGCAGGTGAATAATGCATTCCTGTACGTAGAAATTTGAGGAAAGTATTACACCTAAATGGTATATTAGGAATGAACTTCAACAAAAGAAAATTGAGGGAAAAATTTATCTCAGAAATTGAATACTCAAAATAAAATGAAAAAGCTGTGAGGATCTGCTCGAGCCCAGCAAGTAGACACGGGCAAGAGCCCCACCCTGTGTCTTGTAGTGCCCGGCTCCTGTAGAGCCAAAGCGAAATACCATTTTGCAAGACAAACAGGAAACATCTTTTTAAAAGGAGGAATGTAATTGGAAAGCCGCTTTATGATATGATTAGAAAGATGGCAAAATAAATTTACAGAAAATTGCGTTCAAAGGAGAGGAAAAAGAGTCTCTCAGTGCCCAAAGGAAAAAAAAAAGAAAAGAAAGAATGCACAGTATATTGTGATAGAAGCAGAGATTTCTGGGTGAGAAGCTCAAGCATAAGATGAACAAACGAAATTTCAAAGACGTGCAATTCCTGGAAAAGTAATAGAATCTGCACTGTTTTTGGGATGTAAACTAGACGATCCCACCCAAGAAGGTCAGGTAAGCCAAGATAATGAGTACCTTCAGTTCATGCAACTTCCAACTGTCCATACAAGTGGATCTTGAGATAGACACAAATGGAAGGTCAGTTGCTTGCACAATCATCATACAGGCGTCCCCAGAGCTTTCCGAAGTGGTTGTTGTTTCATTCAATAGCAAAACAATTTGACTTTCCTGTTTTGTGAAAAACGGATAATGCAACGTTAGAAGACTAAAATTAGAACTGAAATGAAATCATAGATTCAGATCTTTACCTTATATAAGGATAGATCCACACAGTGATAACCATCAGGGAGACACAACAATAAAGCTTCCAACGAAGTATAGCCATTCTTTATTGCGATCGAGTCATGTGTAAAACCCCTGATTATAGCCACGCAATTTGAAATATTTGAGAAAGAATCATCTGGTACTTGAAAAGATACGTAATCTACAAATCTGCCTTGACAACTCTGCTGATAAGAGACAGCTGCTTGAGAAGCATCCTGTGTAGATTTAAGGAAAAAAGGAAAAAAAAAAAAAAGAAAAAAGAAAAAAGAAAACAAAGCAAACACAGATGTCTGAATAATGAGCTCGCGTCTACATATTAAATTTTACATTGGATTCAAATAAAAGAACCAAGTTACTGTAACAAACAAAATTAGTTATGAAAACACTCGAGCACCGTATAGCAAATACCTCATAGTATGATACTGACATTGGAACTGCAAGAGATACTGGTGAAGCTGGAAGAGGAAAAAGGGGCAACAAATCCATGCAAACGATCTTTTTTGAAATCGAAGTAAAGGGCATCAGAAAAGCCTCCTTAAAACTGAAAGTATCATCAGCACATCTATAAGCTAGCGTAGATCTCAGCATGCACAAGCCATATTAGTTTGGTAAAATGACAGTTAATGGAGCCAACCAAGGTTAAGCTTTCATATTAGTAAGTAATAAAGTTAGCTGCCTACAGTTAACAACAAAGGACGATAAGAAATGATACTCAATATGTGTTGTTATCTAACACAAATGAAGATATCTGTTTTGTCAGATATCTCGTACCTTCAGCTGCTATTTCAACACTGAGGGCCTTGGCATGTTCTGAACAAATTTTACTTGTCAAAAGTTGGAAAAAGAAAAGAAGGAATTACGAGTAGATACCTAGACTCCATCTGATGGAATTGTTTAGCTAATGTCCTTTGCAGATATCCGCAATCTGAAAATCCCCCAAACTGAACTAGTTCTTTTACTCTCTGCATTGTTTCCCTGAAGAATTTAGAAACACCATAATGTTTGAAGATCCAAAAAGGTGTTCCAAATACAAACTTAAACACAGACATGCATAGCACATTGACTGTAGTAGTACACGCGTTCCAACAAAAGAACAAAGACTTTGAATGATAATTAGAGGAAAAAAAAGTCCAGTCTAGACGGGTATTTTACTCGGGTGCCAATTTAGGATGTTTGTGTAGTAGTACACGCGTTCCAACAAAAGAAAAAATACTTTGAATGTCAATTAGAGAAAAAAAAAGTCCAGTCTAGACTCTAGACGGGTTTTTTTACTTCTCATTGAGGCTAGACGCTAGACACCATCCGATTTTATTTAAATTTTTGTTTTTTTTTTAAAAAGGAACAAACTTTTAGATCATTTAGAGTTCCAGAGAATACTCACTGATCAATAATTTAAACAATCGTATTACTATATAGTTTATGGTTGGAAAAAGAAAAGAAGATACTCACACATCAATTTCAATAATATGGTCAGCATCAGATGATTCCAGCAGTTGCCTAACAGGATCTTGATCGTATAGAAACTTCAAGAATATAACAACAAGCTCACTGATCAAAACCAAAATGTGTGAGAAAGAAATTATATGCTGATAACCAATTGAAACACAAGGGTAGAACTGAGATAGACCTATTGTATGGAAGAAGTTGATCGCTAGGTTCTGACATAAGTAGCCTTATACATTTTAAAAGCCAGTTGAAGAAGTTGGAGAACTGAAAGCAAAAGACATGTCATTAATCCAAAGAAATGTATGTAGGAATAAAAGAGAAATATCACATTCAATTAAAGCAATGCCAGTAATTCCCTAGAGATTCTTATGCACATTCAAAACAACCATAAGCAAACCTTTGCTGCACACAATCTCAAATAGACAACCTGAGCATATATCTAATTGCAGATTATCTTTAGATTAAGTGGCTTAAGACAAGTTTGAAACATATAGAGCCTGTTTGGTAGATGCATTTGAAACCATGATTCTAATTCTGTTACAATACTTTTCTCTCACAAAAAATTTGAATAAAAAAGTTCCCGCAATGGGTATGGGTTCTCTCACAAATTTGAATTCAGACTTAAACGCGTGAACCAAACGGGCCAATAATAAGAGGCCTCGCCACAACTTATTCCAGTGTTTCAGCGTTTTTTAGATCTAATGTCCTGCACATCAGCTGTTTTTTTAAAGATACATGAATGTGCTTCCTCAATAACAAGCAGAATCTTGACCACAAAATACAAATCTTCGAGTAAGATGACTTTCCGACTGTAGCTTTGACAGTAAAAGATGAACTGGGAAGAGGGAACTGCTGAGGAGAGATTGATTTTGAACCTCAAAATTAGTATAAACTTTTGAATATGTTTTCTATTTTATTTTTTCTATGAAGGAAATCTGACAAATAAAGCAAAATAACTCTCCATACTAAAGCATTAAGAAATAAAAGGACCCTCTAGGAAGCATACCTGCAGCACCACAGATGAAAGCAACGTCATAAACCATTCAACTTGCACAATTATCATCCCAACTTTTTCGGCCGCATTACTGATGAGTGTCTCATCTAAACCAATGCTCTGATAACGTGCACGCCATCTTGAAAGACCTCTTAGTTCTCCCATCCTGAATCCAATAATTTCTGCAGCAGGCTGAAAAGAAAAATTTTGTCTTTAGTTCTCACTCAAGCCCCTTGTTATAGGGAACATGAATAGAAAATTCAAATCAAGCAATTCTTTAACCATTTATACCTCGTTCATTTCACCGATTTGAGTTTTCAATTATAGGTTTCTACAGTAAAAATCTCTTAGAAAATGTCACATCTAACTTTTTCTGCTACAGTGAAAAGCTCTCAGAAAATGTCACATCTCAACTCGAATTGAAAACTCGAATCTGCAAAGTGAACGAGGCCTTAATGACTAACAAACAAATAGAATCATGATTCAAACTGCAGCATCTATCGACAACCAAAGTCCTAATTTTCACATTCAACACGAGTAATCATGATACAGCTTTCCCAGCTATCAATATGCCTAGATTGAGAAGCCTAGTATTCAAATATAAATTGTCACCGTCTATATAATAATTGATCCACCAATTTCCATGAGATGCTCTCAAAGTATGAGACACATACTTACATAAATGCTCTCTAATAAATTGCTCTTTTTTTTTTTGGTTGAAAAAATGCATTAAGCATAAGAAAAAGAATACTTAGTTGCACCTGGAGATGGTTTAGGAAGATAAGCTGAAGTTCTTTTCCAGCACCACAAACAACCTTTGACACACGCTTCACTCCCTATGAAGAGAAAGACTCACTGAATCAAATACATTATCACATTTCATGTTCAGTGAAATAGTCTAGTACAGCTTAGGATATCAAATAGAGCGGACAATACCACTTCACCGAGAGAATTAACAAGAAATTGATGAACTGGTGGACTAGTCCGAGAACCACCTAAAAGACTTAAGAACTCCTCTTGGGAAGAGGAGTCAAGTCCTACATAGAAAGATGAGATCAATTCACAAAAAAGGATAAAAAAAAAAAATTGAAATAACGTCAAGAAAGTGTCTGTAGAATTATCTTGATTCGTGAGGTTACCATGATCGATGATCAGATTCGACAGAGAATCGAACTTTTCGTGAAAAGTGTTCATGGCATCAGACCACTGCTTGGACATAATTGATAGTGATGCCCGGATAACCTCGGTAAGTTCTTCAATGTTAGAAGCCTGTTGAGCCACTTGATGGAGCTCATTTTTCCTACAGTAAAATATATGGAGTGATCAAGGAGAGAGAATATGCGCAATTTTAGTTTAACTAGAAATTAAGAACTGAAATGATTTTATGATAACTTAACTTTATTCTATACAAGAATACAAAACACAACTAAAAGTTAAGCTATGCGTTTCAAATTTCAATAAACTTGAACAGATTTCTATGTTCTGCTAAGGAATCTTCTTATTCTGCTTGTTATAGCATAAAGAAAAGGGGCCGCATGACCATCTGGTCAAAACTTCAAAGGCACAAGATAGCCTATTAATTAAACAGGTCTAAGGTATAATAGCCTTACAATTAAAATATTTACAAGGGATTATAGCCTTATGTAGCCTTGTATGAAAGACAGCAAATCAAACTGGCAAAACCATGTTAGAACCAAGATGGTTTACTGATAACAGAGTCTTTCCTCTCACATAGCCTTGTAACCAAAAAATAGTCTGGTTCTCAAAATCTTTGGTAGGAATAATTGTGAAACTTTCCAAAAGTTTTAAGGGACAACTAGATCAAGTCCTGAAACTACCAAATATCCTGAAACAACGAGGTAATTGCATTACAAGTATATAACGAAGACTTCATTTCCAAGTAATCTTGGTAGGCATTAGTAAGTCACCAAGAAGGAATAATAGACTGAATCGTGGAGAATAAACCAAAGTAAATATAGCCAGAGGAGTCAAAGCCAAACAAAATCTCTGGACTATCTCAGTTTTCATAGCAAAATTACCTATTCCAAAATATTGAAGTATCAAGCACCAAGCAATGCGATCCATGCATACCATGTCCAGCCATTTGCCAATTTTCTGATTCTTCCTCGTTTTTAACTAATTCTCCGGAACACATAACTATCAAACGACAAAGATCTTTTGACAAAGCAACCTAATGAAAATAACATGGAAATTAGCTAAATGAGAGTAGTTGATTCTAGCTTTGTGAAAGATCTTAAAATTTTGAAGTAATAAAATATACGAGTTTCTTTTCTTTCTTTCTTTCTTTTTTTTTTTTTTTTTTTTTTTTTTTTTTTTTTTTTTTTTTTTCCTTTTCGGTTTCTTATTTAGTAGGACATAGAAATAATAAGAATTCAAAAGGAATGACTTAGTTCAAAACACCAATCTTTGCGTGCACGTTGCACTAACTATATCAGCTTTTTTCTATTATAAGAAGTTTTGGCATGAATCTTCACAGGTAAAGATATAGCATCTAAATTGAGATTCAAATACCGATTAATGTTATATTGTGAAATCAATCATGAATACTATAAAGACTGTAGTCAAACACTGTCTCTAACTTTGAGGCCATTCACTCAAAGGATGAGCATACCTTGTAAATGGAAGCATTCAAAAGTTGGCACTTCACTTGTTGATCAATGTGTGAAGAGGGAACATGGCATGTGTGTATGTTCTGGCACATTAAGGTCCATAAATATTTAGTTGCATTAACATGATTAAGTGAAACATCAAACATTCACAAAAAAAAAATAAAAGAAACATCAAGATTCAAGCATAAATCAAAACCATGCGTCTCTAGCTTGAAGTCCAGAAATGGGGAATGCGATCAAGAGAGAAGTAGTCACTTAATCATGAATATCTTCCATCCATTTTTTTTTTTTTACAGGATTGTTTAAAATGCTGCAAAGGATTGTGGGATTGCGTGGCCCTATAGAAGGAAGAAGGAAGAGCAAGAGAACAAAACTCAAGCCCTGCAATACTCCAGTAGCTTTTGAGTATAATTATAGAGAAACAAGAATCAGAAAGGATGACAAAAGTGTAACCAGTAAAAATAAGTATGGCTGATATAGGAAGGATAGATAAATGCAATCAACCCCGTTATGTTATCAGTCTGATTCATAAGAGTTTATTTTCAGAAATTAAGACCACTTACAATTTTCCCTATTGGAAAAATTCCAAATATACTTAAGCAGATGATTCCATCTCTGTCTCCACTGCAAAGAATATTAAAGCGTTGCTGAGAAGAACTTGACAGCTCTTGAAATGAATCTTCACTATCATCCATGAAGCCGGCATCTCCAGAAACCAAACCTTGTATCCTAGGAACTCTTGGAGCAGGTGGTAAGAAGCGAGATGTACGATCTTCATATGTTGTCATGCTCCCAGAATCACCCTGAAACCAAATTTGGAAAAAGGAGTCAAAATGAAGGTAAACCAGAAAGAATCCATGGTCATAAGTCCAGACACAGTTTTGGAGAATATAAACTAATTCTAACTCATGGTTACAAAAAGAGAGAAAATAAACTGAAAATAAAATGATTTTGTTCAGGAAACTTAAATAGAGATGACATTTGCATAAAAATTAAGAGAAACATACTTTAATCTGCTGTGCATCTTCCTCCCAGTTTAGACACACAACAGCAACAGCATGGGATTTTAAGCTTCTTAGTAGTTTTCCATTCTGCTTGAAATTAGCAAAGCATGAGAAAAAATATAAAAAATATCACAAAAACAGAGGGAAAGGCTATTAACTAGAATCATGTATGTGTGTTTTGCCAGAATGAAATTTTTTTTGTTTATAACTATTACAACAATGACATCCACTAGTGGACTACGATTTGGATCTCAAGGTAGGTCTAGATTAACCAGAATATATAACAGGCCAAACCAAGTGTGCCCAAAAACTACCTTCATAAAGAAGATAATCTTAACAAAAACACACACAAAAAACAAAAAACCGACAACAACAAAATGCTACTCACTTCAACATCATGCAATGAAACGGCCCCATCTTCAAGCCCAACGGCTATTGCTTTACCATCAGGTTGCCAACATAAAGAAGTTATGGACCTTCCTATACAAATTTTAAAGGAGAAAAAAAATCAGATAACTGAGAAACTGGAGGAGGCAACGATATTCACAAAAGTTTCAACAATAGCCAATACGACATGGAATTTACGTTCTCATTAATCTGCCATGCCAACAAAACTTAGTAGTAAATCCTGAAACCAGCATAAAACATTCATTCTGATGCAGATTAAATCCACAAATTTGCCAAAAATTCGTCCCCAAGCTAATTTCATCGCTTCAATTAAGATTTTAACATTAAAAATTCCATCCGGATCATAATTTTTGTCAGTTTCTTTTTTCTCTCTCTCTCTTCTTTTTTTTTTTTTTTTTTTTTTTTTGCTCCATGATTTATTTTTACAGGAAATTGTCCACGAATCATACACTCGTTGGACCGCACATAATTTAAGAAGACCTTATATATCCTTAATTACAATAAGCACATAAAACATATAAATAGAAATAATTCCATAAAACTTGTCATAAAAAATATAGAACATATTAAATAAGAACAGAAGCAAAGTAGCTAGCTGTGGGAGCAGAAATTAAATTAAGAGAAAGATTAATCACCAGGCGAGATTGTCCACAATCTCTGCCAATTGAAACGATGCAGCAAAAGCTTGGAGTCCTCTGTTACCATAGCCAATAAATCCTTCTCCGGATTCCATTCCGCTAGCTTAATCTGTCATTCCCAGAATTCAACCAAAATTCACCACTGCGCCTCGCGCACACAGATATATGTATATATATGTATATGTGTGTGTGTGTGTGTGTGTATATATATATATATATATATATATATGGCTGGGAAAAAAACCTGAGAAGCGAGCGGTTTGTCGAACTGGAGCTGAAACGGAAGCACGCGTTGGGCGTCGTCGGTTTCCATGATTGAATGAGTTAGAACTCAAAAGAATTATTAAAAATGAAAGATCAGAGATGAAAGTTCGATAATTACAGATCAGAAACCGAAATGCCTGAAACAAGATACCCAAAAACCCTAAATATTAGCAAAAAAGAAAAGAAAACACAGAAAAAGCGGCGAAAATACGAGTGCCTGAGAACGGCGCGATTTAGGAAAGAGGGAGAAGAGAATGGAGATAAAACGGAAGATCGTTGAAGCTTACTCTGAAGTGGCCGGAGAGAAAAACGGGAGAGAAGAGTTTGAGAAGCAGAGAAGAAGGGCGGGCTTTTTCGGCTTTTCAAGTTTTCAGTAGCTCTCAGTGGGAATGGCATTTACCAGTTGCCACTGGTATTTGCGGGAAAAACACACATTATTTAATAAACAAAACATTAAACAGTGTGTTTAGAACTAATTTTAAAATAATTTTATTTTTTTATAAAAAATAAAAATAAAAATATTTTTACTCTCATATAAAAATTATTTTTAAAAATATAAGGGGTAATATTCGTCTTTGATTTTAAATCATGATTCATGACTCTTTATAATATTTTCTCTCATAAAAAATACACGTAAAACGAGAATAATTATAGATACATAAACCAAATATCCTCTTAACATTTTTATTAAGAGACTATTTTTAATATAAAAAAATATCAATATTTTTTTATGTGTTCGAGAGAAAAAAATAAAAAAAACTAAAATTTATTTTTTATTTTTCATATATTTTATATTAAATTAAAAAATTATTTTTATTTTTATTTTTTATCTTTAATTATATTAAATATTATTTTTCTCCTATTTTCATTTTTTCAGAAACAAAAAAAAACTAATTTTAAACATGCTAATTTTCTCAAAATTCAGCCAAAAAGGTTTTTTAAAAGCGTTTTTCGCCGTTGCCGGGGATCGAACCCGGGTCACCCGCGTGACAGGCGGGAATACTTACCACTATACTACAACGACTTCGATGTTGTCCAAGTTCAACAAATTTAAATTATAGAATTTATAAAAGTACTGTAACAAATATTAACAAAATTTCGAAATAATATTAGCAAAATTTAAGGGGTGGTAATATAATTTCACTCTCTCTGGTGCGAGGAAAGTGCCATTCGTCTGTAGTTGAATGCTTTACCACTCAGCTCTGTTCCACTATATCCAAACAGTAACGTTACGACTGAGTATTTACGTCTTTGGTTTCTTCCGTCAGTCTTATTTCCTTGGGCATTGCTGAGCAAGGTATTGAACCGGATTCCTTTACTGTTGGTTATTGTTCTCTCAAAATAATCAACTTTTTCTTTTTCCTTTTTTCATTTTGGTGGTGATCAATAATCAAAACGAACCAAAGAATATTTATTTCATTAGAATCTAAAAGTGCTAGAGATAAAGAATGAGTGTGAAAAAATTTTCGAGAGAGAAAGGGAGAATGAGCGTAGAGAATTTTTATTTCTGATATCTGTGTAGTTGCTTCCACCACTAAACATTAGTTAAAATCCAATTCTTTTTATATTTCTAGAGAATAAATCCTATTCTTTTTATATTTCTAGAGAATAAAATCTCTTCGTATTGTTGTCTAATACTTGTTTTGAAATACTTGAGCTTTAATTGTTATAGATTTAGATATAGATATAGATTTGTCGTTCAATGCTTGTGACTGAGAAGTAGATATAGATTTTATCTGTCAATAGAATTTTTGTACTGTATTTAAGTTTTGGACTCTTTTTTCATTTTCACCAAAAAAAAAAGTGTTGGATATTTATCAAGTGTCATTAAATTATCGTATTGTTTTAATTTGATGTGATTCTGGTTGTTCGGAATGAGAAGTAGATTAGTTGCTAGCAATTCTGGTTGTTATTCTGATTAGTGTTAGTTCTCTGGTTAGTTAGGCTTATAATTGCTTTTCATCTTTCTAGTTCTTCGATAGTTCATCTCATTCTTGATCAGATTCTTTCTGTTGAAATCTTTACACTGATTTGATTTGGGAGTCAAAAAATATGTCTTGCTGGTACAGTTTATATATATATATATATATTGTTACAAGTGAGAGTTGCATAGTATAGCTAACTTTCAAATTGGTGCATGATATCTAGGATGTCAATTGTGAACCCTTTGACGAAGCTAGTGAAATGTGTTCTCTTTGATTTGGATGGTACTCTTCTTGAAGGTAAGGTTTTTTCTTTTTTTTTTATTTAATGAATTGATATTTAATGAAGGGTTTTCCTTTTTTATTCTTATAGTACATGAAATCGTATAATTGATATTAGCCGTTTGCGCTATGCTTGATGCTACTATTTGTGCATGATACCTGGCTTTCAATTGAATGGCAGATGGCGTTGTAAGTGATGTCTTGAAAGTTTATTTAGTAAAGTACGGAAAGCAGTGGGATGGGAGGGAATCTAAGAAAATAGTAGGGAAGATGCCGCTTGAGATTGTGGCTGCTATTATTGAAGATTACGAGCTTCCTTGCACGACAGAAGAATTAGTATCTGAGATCACCCCTATGTTCTCCAATAAGTAATAACTAGTTGAATTTTGCTTTTTTATGCATTTGATGTGTATACATATCATATGTGGATCACTTCGTGGTACTTCAGGCTAGCTCAAGTGCTTAGGTACGTGAGTGCGTGAGTATGTTATCCAGGGTTTGACTTATGGTGGTTCATTACTATATCAAAAAAAAGTGTGGATCACTTTGTATAAAAATCATTTTGTGCGACGAGTTTTGAAGAGCTCTCAAGTAATAAAAATAATTGCTGAGTTTGCATTGTTGTGTGCTTCAGCTCTTGACCTTGTATAGAAATCTGTTGATTGAATCCTTTCACAATTGTCTGCGTAGGTGGTCCAATATTAAAGCACTTCCTGGTGCCAATCGGCTGATCAAACATTTCAGCAGTCAGAAAGTGCCATTGGCATTGGCTTCAAACTCCCCCAAGGAGATTATAGAAGCCAAAATTTCGTCTCATTCTGGTATTCCTTGTCGAAACACCTTAGAACACATTTGCTTATTGTGTCTCAAGTGGAAAATTGTCTGGCTTGACATGAGTTGTGCCTACATCTAAGCTTGTTTGTTTATTATTCTTTACATGTAGGCTGGAAAGAATCCTTTTCCTTCATTATTGGTGGTGATGAAGTGAGCTTAGGAAAGCCGTCTCCTGAAATGTATGATACAACTTCTTTTTAGCTTTCTCACTGTTACAGTCTGTTCTTCCGGATATCTAACTTCGTGGTTTTTCTGTTGAAGATACCTTGAAGCGGCTAAAAGGCTAAATATTGAACCTTCCAGCTGCCTTGTCATTGAAGATTCACTGTACGTGACCCCACTTTTAATTCTTTAGGTAGATCTTTTTTTTAGATGGGATTAATGCTAAAACTAAATTATGGCAATTTTCTTTCTGAGTGATATAAGATGTACTTAAATTCATTTTAGGTAACAAATCCTAGTTATAATCACAACTTGATCAAGAGAACTACATTTACGAGTGAGAATCCATGATCTGAATGATAGCCATGATTGTTCTATTCCAATGATCCAATCTAATTTGGAAGACACATTCAATATTTCTGTTCATAGAAATGTGGATTAGTTTTCCTTTGCGCGAGAGACTGAGGGCCCGTTTTGAAGATATACTCAAATCATGATTCTTGATTCTGACGTTTGAAATTCAAATTTTTTGTGAGAGGAAAATACTGTAGGAGAATCAATGATTTGAGTTTGAGTATACGAAACAAACGGGGGCGCTGAATGTTGTGTGACTGTGATAAGTCCTGTTCCTTACGCTTATGTAATGGTTTCTCAGACCAGGTGTGACAGCCGGTAAAGCTGCTGGCATGGAAGTGGTGGCTGTGCCCTCCATGCCAAAACAATCCCATCTTTATACTGCAGCAGACGAGGTGTTCAATTCTCTACTTGATCTGCGACCCGAAAAGTGGGGCCTCCCTCCGTTCCAAGATTGTAAAAGTCTTTTATCTTGTTTCAATTCTATCTGGCCATTTTTCTCTTGATAGACCGTTTTTATAGCACTGTTTTTGTGTTATTATTACATTTACAGGGATAGAACGTACTTTGCCATTAGAACCTTGGTATATTGGTGGTCCCGTCATCAAGGGATTTGGGCGTGGCTCAAAACTACTTGGGATCCCCACCGGTAAGGAAGAGTATAAGAATTTTGCTTTATGGCAGATTGTTTTTCTTCACAAGATATTTGATACTTGATAGAACATTTTGGTTTGGTATTCTAATTGGTGCTCTTCCTTCATTTTTCTTAGCAAATTTATCCACAGAAGGATATTCGACTCTCCTTTCGGAACATCCCTCGGGAGTATATTTTGGCTGGGCCAGAGTATCAACTCGTGGGGTTTTTAAAATGGTCATGAGCATTGGATGGAATCCATATTTCGACAACACCGAAAAAACTATAGCAAGTCTAAGCACTAAAGCATGAATTTTTATTGCAGTTTGAAATACTTTTTTTCTTCAATTGGTTATGTTTACTTTATAATGCAGGAACCATGGTTGCTTCATGAGTTCGACGACGATTTCTATGCTGAGGAATTGCGTCTCCTTATAGTTGGCTACATTCGGGCCGAGGTACTTTACCAAGACCATTGTTTTGCGGAGAATATAATATTTCCCTTGCACCTTCTTATGCTGTTTTTCTTTTTTGATTCTGATGTTTGGATATGAAATGGATAACAGGCAAATTTTCCGACACTCGAGAGCTTAGTAGCAAAGATTCACGAGGACAGGAAAATTGCAGAGACAGCTCTTGATCTTCCATTGTACTCAAAGTACAGGGATGATCCCTATCTGAGAATTTCTGTTTAGGGATGGATGAGATTCTTATATTCCTTCATATTAACCAGAAAAGCCGCGGACCTCCAGCTCCGCAACTCAGCAGGTGGGCAGCGCCCCCCGGCAATAGGGTGAGCCAGAAATTGGAGACATTATGCTCTCAAATGACACTCTCTTAAACTGAAATTCTCTCTTTTACTAAACCTTTTTATTCTTTTTTTATGTGTCGTGTTCGGGCCGACACGACTATGGCACGACACGATTATAATAAACACGAACACGACACGATTAATAAACGTGTTAGAAACCTAAACACGAATACAAAACGCTAATAACACGGTTAGCACGATACGACACGCGAACACGATTATTAAACGGACCGTGACAGGTCGACACGAAAAAACACGTTTATGACCCGTTTATGACCCAAGTAGCAAAAATAGTGAAATTTTATATTGTATCAAAACTAATATTAATTGACTACCTAATATCACTTATACTATAAAATCTGATGAGCATATAATAAGAAAAACGTAAATCCTCAAATTCTCTATAATAATCAACACACGTAAAAATATCAAACATATCAAACATATTTATATATGATACTACTAGATTAATATATATGTTAATAGATATATCATACATATATATATATATATATGACACTCCTTCCTTCTTGCAAGCAGATAAATCAAAAGAAATACTAATAGAAATTCAAACAGACCATTCGGATAAGAGATTACCGGAATGAAGTTGGCACAACCGGAAATGAGAGAAGAGATTCCAATCTAAAAGGAGAGGCAAAGGAGAACGGAGAAAAGTGAGTGAGAAACTGAGAATTAGAGGCCGGCAAAAGGCAAGGGAGAAAAGTGAGTGGCTAAGGTTAGGACTTAGGAGTAAGTGAGTGAGAAACTGAGAATTAGCAATTAGGACCGACTATTTAAGTTTCAGACAATTAGGACCGTGTCGTTTCGTGTTGGTCTGTTAACGGCTCGTATAACTAAACGGATTAAGCGTGTTAAACGGGTTAGTACGAATTCAGTCTATTTATTTTCGTGTTATTCGTGCGAGTCTGTTAACGACTCAATTAATAATCGTACAGTTCAAATCTATTTATCTCGTGTCGTTTTCATATTATTTCATCGTGTCGTGTTGGAAATTATTGGCCTTATATATGATATACTGCTTGTAAGGCCATCCACTCTGTATTGAGGATAAATCCAAACATTGCTTATTTCTTGGTTTCCATTATTATGTAGAAAATTTCCTCAGCAGTCAGCACCGTATTTCTGGCTTGTGTGATGGATATTATTCATCGTCCATGGCCATCTCTTACTTGCAAATTTCCGAACTTAAATACAAAAATAAAAAATAAAAATGGGCGACCCACTTAAGCATCACCTGAACAAAAAAAAAAAAAAAAGGAAAAATTTTCTTGAATTTGATTCAGTTCGATTATTAAAAGCAATTTAATAGTAGCCGAGTTATTTGAGAAATTTCACTCTTTTAAGTAATTTTCCATCTAGTCATTGGAAATACAAACATATATACATATATTTATATTTATTATCTCTTAAAAAAACTCTAAAAATAATATTGGTTTTAAACATTTTTTAATTACTCCAACGTCAAATTATTTCCATAATTACCTTTCAAAAAATTATTTAACATTATAATAGTATAATTTTATAATTTTTCTGTGGTACTTGTAATGATGGAATTATTATTAACGTATCATTGGTATAAAAATAAAATTAAAACCCACACTATTTAAATGCTATAATTTTATAACTCGAGCCACATTATTGCAATAAATTTCCATCTTAAGAAACCGAAGGCGATTTTCCTTTGGCCTAATTTTGGCGGTAACAGCAAAATCAATCTCAGAAGAGAGAAGGGAAGCGAAACGCAGTGAGTGCCCAACCCCAAAAGTAAAAGTCTTTAACAATGGCCGAAAAAGAAGGTGATCAACCTCAAGCTCACGTCGTCGCAGATATCACAGAGCAAGACCAAGCTTACTCGTGGCCTGTCATTCGCTTCGATGTCCCTCCCAACAGAACCTACCATTTCTGCCACCAGTTCAGGAACACCCCAAACCCTAACAACTTCCTCAAGTCCCTCAAATGGTGCTTTCTTCTGCTTCTTCTTCTTCTTCTTCTTCTTCTTTTTGATTTCTGCTTTTTCTTTGATTTTCATTCGAATTTGTTCATCTTCTTCTGTTTTTGGTTCAGGTCTCCTGATGGTTCGTGTTTTCTGACTACCTCCGATGACAATACTCTTCGTCTCTTTATGCTGTAATTTTTTTTTTCTTTTCCGTTTTTAACCTCATTTTGGACAAAGAAAGGCTATTTGAGCAGCATTATCAATTTACTTTTTTATTCCTTATTTTATCAGTAAGTTTTTTTTTTTTTTTTTTTGGTCCTGTATTTATTTTCTTCCATATTGCTGTCTTATATGGAGAAAACAAGATATTTCTGTATTAAGTGCTATTTAATTTTCTTTATAACAGACCACCGGACAATGGCTGTGATCAACTTAGTAATAGTGCGTGTTCTGTAGCTGCTGATGAAGGTAAGTTTGCGTATATGGGTATTAACAATTTCTTCAGAAAACTTGAAAATGCCGCGTAAAGGTACTGCATTTTGTTGTTGACAATTGAGAAACCTTAATTAATTCTTATCAATTTCAACCTTGATATGCTAGCAGACTCGTTTGCCGCAAACCTTGTCGTGAGTGAAGGAGAGTCTGTGTATGACTTCTGTTGGTACCCTTACATGTCTGCTTCAGGTTTGCTTCTGAAACTTTTTCAGTGCCAGAGTAGTTTTCATGTCGTGTTTGAATTTATTGGTCTATAGCAGGTGATACTGTAACTAGAAGATGATTTGAAAGTTTGGCTGACATTTCAGATCCAGTTACCAATGTTTTTGCGAGCACAACTCGGGATCATCCAATTCATCTTTGGGATGCTTCTTCTGGCGAGGTGCGTGTATGATTTTGCTCATTTGCTTTTTTGCATTTTGCTATTAGTTTCTGGCCTTGTAACATATGAAATATTGGCCATTTCTGTAATACAATGCTTCTTAATTCCTTCCTGTGCTATAAAGCTATGCTGATGCGGTGCTCTCCTATTACAATATAGATAATGTATGATTTAGTCGACGGGTTTAAAGTCTGTGCCCATTTCTGTAATGCTAAGAGCAGTGCTAATATGCTTTTCATATAGTTACTGTCTTACAATGTCTGGTTTATATTGCAGTTGCGTTGCACATACCGTGCTTATGATGCTATGGATGAAATAACAGCTGCCTTTTCAATTGCATTCAATCCCTCTGGAACAAAGTAATCACGTCTCTTCCCCCTTGATTATCAGTTGTTATTTCATCTTTAATGTATGAACTTTTTGTGTTCACAATGGTGAGATATAACAGTCCAATTATTTTTACCTTCAATTATGGGTCTATATTGAAGTTAATAGCTTTGAGCTCTGAAGGAGTTTTAATATAATACTGTCTTTGATGAAAAATAACACGTGACTAAAAATAGAACTGGTCTGCTCTGTAGGATTTTTGCTGGGTACAACAAATCTGTTAGGGTGTTTGATTTACATCGCCCAGGTAGAGATTTTCAACAGTTTTCGACTGTTCAGGGAAATAAAGAAGGCCAAACAGGTATTTTTTATTTTATTTTTTAGCTGCCTTAAGAGCGTTTATAAAGAAAACAATGAAGGCTCATATATTTAACGTGTTTGTTGTGGACAGGAATACTATCTGCAATGGCCTTTTGCCCAAACCATACTGGAATGTTAGCAATTGGTTCTTACAGCCAGACTACTGGAATATATAGAGAAGACAATATGGAACTCTTGTATGTATTGCATGGCCAAGAAGGTGGGATTACACATGTAAGTCAGCATCACTTTTGGTTATTTCAACATTTGAAATAAATAAAGATATGAAAGCAACCATTTTTCCTTTCAGGTCCAGTTTTCTAAAGATGGGAATTACTTATATACCGGCGGACGCAAGGTATACCGTATATTGCTCTAACATCTGTTAACATTTTGTACATTATTCTTTGTTTAACCTTGTTTAACATTTTCATGCATGTCAATGCTCTGAAGGACCCCTATATAATGTGCTGGGATACACGCAAAGCTGTTGATGTTGTGTACAAGTAAGTATCTTTCATTTAGCTAGAACCACCATGCTTTCAGAAACAGTTGATCTCTATTGATAATACTTACAGTGAAAAGTCTTTACACACTGAGAATACAAGTAACTGAAGAATTATTGACAAGGATGGGAATATAAATGAACCACTTTGAAAACATACACACAGGTGCCACGTGCCTTCACACAACAATAGGCTAGTTGAGCATTGTCGCAGACAAAAATTCTTTATAAAGAATATATAATTATCTTCAATCTTCAAATCGGGAGTTCCATTTTGTAATTTGATTTTTAAATTGCTCCTCAAAATATACCAAAGTGGAGCGTGAGAGACTGCTTTGAGTCACCAACTTGGAGGAAATTTCCCATACTATGTAAGCGCCAGTATTTTATAGATGAATATGGATTTTCTTCACTTTTCTGTGTTTGCTCAAGGAGAACATCTGGTAGTCAATGTTTCACCGTTCCTAAATGTGACAAAATCGATGTATTGAACTTCTGGCATTATCTTTTTACAACCTTGTTATAGGCTATATAGATCATCAGAACACACCAACCAGAGGATACTGTTTGATATTGAAACGCAGGGCCGACATCTTGGTACAGGTGGTCAGGTAGCATCTTAGTTCTCATTTATGTTTACTTGGCCATTTATGTTTGGTGATAATCAAATGAGGGATTTTATTTTTTTCATATAGTGCTCTATTTTCCAATTTGTTTCAGAACATGCCCTGAGGCAGTCAAATGATAGTAATCCAGGGATCTTTTCTAAGAAACAACCGTGCCCCTAATGTTTGACTGCCGTAGGATATTTTACGAAAAGATTAAAATTGAAACTACATGAGATGAATTGTAATATGTGGTTAACCAAATCAAAATCCCCATCCTTTGTAAATGTAGCAATCATTCTGTTTGTTCTTATATTCCGTTTTCAGGGTGGTTTTGTTCATATATATGATCTTCAAACTGGGCAATGGGTATCAACCTTCCAAGCTGCATTAGGTAATGATATTGTGTACAAGTACTTGGAAATTCATACTGATACATGACTCTTCCTTTCTTCTATTTTTAACTTGGTTTCATCTGTCATCTGTGTGCATCTTCCAGATACTGTTAACGGGTTCTCTTTCCATCCATTTTTGCCAATGGCTGCCACATCATCAGGGCACCGTAGATTTATTGCCCCTGATGAAGGCAACGAGGATTTGCATTTGCGTGGTATACTTATTACAGAAAACCAACTTTCCTTTTATATATATATATATATATATATCTCTGTGTGTGTGTGTATTACGATCAATACGTGGACATTGACCATGTTGTATAATCACTTAGTTTATCTATTAATCACTCTCTCTCTCCCCCAATTTTTGTGCAGGTGAGGAAAACTGTGCTTCTGTGTGGAGTTTTTCTTTCGACTCATTGGCGGGGAATGACGTTAATATCAATTGTCAAGACTCGAGTCAATCCGAACCTGCGAACCTCAACAAAAATTCTTGAACGGTCCTTGTGTCTAAGCGTGTTCATCACATCACATGATTTCATTAACCTTTAGATATTAAGAAAAAGGCTATTTTGTCAAATGAGACATTTTCATTTTAGTACCTTGTGTTATATTGAAATATGAGTTTAATACTCTGTGTTTTTTAAAATTTCATGCGGGTCTCTCGACATTTTTAAAAACTTTTTTTTAGCACCTTGAAGCTATTTTTTTGGAATGTGAAATGACATTTCTACCATCTTCATTAATTAATAAAAAATTAATAAGTTTTAAGGAAATTCTGAAAGTATTTAAAAGATTAATATATTATAAATAAAAAGTGTAAACTAAAAAAAAAAGGCAAACCATTCTTTTGTTTTCTATATTTTATTATGTTTTTAACATATTTTTAATATGTTTGAGAAAAAATTCTAGACAAATTAAGTACCAAGGATAAAAATGTCATTTCACATCTCAAAAACAACTTTAAGATACTAAAAAAAGATATTTTAAAACGTCAAAATACTCGCATGAAATTTTAAAAAACACAAGAAATCAAACCTCATATTTCAATATAATGCAAAATATAAAAATGAAATTTTCTCTTTGTCAAATTATTGTACATTCGTTCAAGACAGACAATGGTAATTGTTAGTCAAGAAATGTTTATCCTTGGTTTGCACCTACATGCATGTATAAGCTGAATTTCGATGGCCGTCTATAGTAGCAAATGCTTTATATAAATTATATGATTAAGCGGGCCATAACTTGTGTAGTGCCTATACAATTTATTCTTAAACAAGATTAATTAGTAAAGGTTGAAAGATATACTATTCTTTTTTAAATGGAAGAGAGAACACACCTAACATCAAGGAGTCCTAGACCATCCCAACACCCTCAAGAACAACCCTTCCTCTGTCAAGACTCCACGCAAAATATTATAGAAAAAAAAAAAAAAGAGGAACACAAGGGTCGTATTTGGAATTGATCCCGTTTTTATTTTTTATGTTTTTTGAGAAAAATAAATAAAAATGTTTTCAAAATGACGTTTAGCGCAATAAAGACAAAAAACAAAAATGAAAATGATTTTTTGATTTAGTGTAAAATGAGAGAGAAATGAAAAACGACTTTTAGTCGTTTTTCATTTTTTATTTTCGTTTCTCCTCTCTCAAGCAAAGAGAGAAATGCATTAATGAGGGTTTTATACTAAAAATAATATATTGATAAAACTACCAAACGTATTTTCAAAAATGATTTATGTTTGAAATTGAAAATATTTTTATTTTCATTTTCTTACAAAAAATAAAATTATTTTTGAACGAGCCCAAAAGGTTGCCATTCCAATTGATTCAGATGATTGTTTGATTTGGATTCCCTCTAGGTTTGGGGGTTGTTCAGCTAAGGATGTGCATGAGATTTCTCGTGCTAGAGTTGCTCCCAATGCTTGGGGTAGTAAAATATGTGCACATTATATTCTCCCTCGTTTTTTCTTTTCTTGTTTAAAGGTTGTTGTATGAAAAGTTTTTAGTGGATCTCACTCTAAAGACTAATGGTATGCAATGCGTTTCAGCTTGTAGTCTTTATAGAAAGGCTGAGGAGTCTATTATTCATCTCTTTTTGGAATGCCCTTATTATCTTACGTTTGGAATTGGAAGGAAAGAAAAGTGAAATACATAGGTGAAGAAAATAAAATAATTTTATTTCATGTTGTTTGATAGAAGAGAAAAAAAAGTGAAAAGAAAATATCAAATATAAGGCATTTTACAATAATACCCTAATACAAATAAAAATATGATGAATAGTGAATGTTAAAATTGTTATTTTATACCTCATTTGTTTGTCCAACTTTTTCTCTCATATTTTCTTCCCAAAGTTGGAAAGATTAAAAATTAGTGGGCTCTATGGATTTTCATTTTCTTTCCTTCCTCATTTCCTCTTTACTAAACAACTTAAAATTTCATTTTCCTCTCTAAAATCCTTCATCTATTTTCTTTTTTCTCTCTTTTCCACCCTACCAAACACACTGTAAAGTTTATTGTACCAATGGCATTGGCGACTTTTGACTTTCTATTTTGAGAGCTAAATTTTAGTCCTCTGGTCGTGAAACTCTAAATCCTTGCTTTTATGGCTGATTGTTGGTTGGTTTGGGATTTTAGGAATATGACTCATTTCGAAGGAACTAGTGTGAATTTGTTGGCTGCTTGAACTTATATTCTTGGTTATTCTTGTTATCTTCGGTCGTCCAAAATTTTCAACTTGAGTTATTCTTATAATTCTATTTCTGAGCTTTTTATCTTCAAGAAACATGCCTTATCAAAACCCTTGAAAAAAAAAAAAAAAAAAAAAAAAAAAAAAAAAAAACTTAAAAGAAAATTAATTGGGTTCGACGGTTCGTCGGGTTGTCGATCACCCCCAATGTCCGCCGCCTCTGCCACCAATGTTGCTATACCTGGCTCTGGTCTTTGCCATTTAGTACTCGTAAGAGTATTTCTACATAGTTCTAATTAAATACTCTACATCACACATATAAAGCCTTCTAAAGATTAATTAAACTCTTTATTCTTCAAAGATTCAGCCATCAAATATAATCTTGTGGCTTCCACAAGGCTTTAACTTTCTTGCACCCAAAAAATTAAAACACTATGTTCGGCATGTACTACATATTCCAATGCCGATGAACCATTTGATTCTTTAAGACAACAAGATTTATGATAGATTAGGATATGCTACGCAGGCTTATTAACAAATGGAATAGAGGTTTCCTATCTTAGGAAACGTGGTTTCCTATATTGTGGGCCACATATTTGTTCAGTAATTATATTAAACTATTTAATTAATTAGGCTAATTAAGTGATCTAATTATGAAAAGCTCAAATAGTCTCCTAACAGGGAATGGGCTGAATGGGTGGATACCTATATTGACCCAACTAGGTTTAATGAGAGTCTAATGAGGCAATATATAAAAAAACTTAGGTTATGGTCCCCAATACGTCAAATCATTCGACAGTTTTCTTTCTTTCCCATCTAGAGAGAAAACACCCCATTAAGGAACTAAGGAGATTTGATTGAGAAATGCAATAACCGTTGTGCTCGTTGTCTCAAAGAATTCTACTGGAGATTAAGGCTGCACCAGTGGAGACAGGTATTTGTTCTAACCTATTTTCTTAGTAATTTGGTGTGATGATTCCTGGAATGTGGAATACGGATTTAAAGATCCAACATCCTATTTTGCACATTCATTATTAATTATTTTAAAAGCTCATATGATCTAGACAATTTTAATCAAACAAAAGCATATTCTTAATTAATTCATATGTTTTATGCACTATTTTCATTTGCCAAGTTCATTACACGTCAGGATATAACACTTTTTTCAGCCAACAAAAAAGAGTTGCAACACTTTTTGTTTAGTGAAGAAAATGTGCTTAGTATATCTTAATAATTATATGCAGAGTTTCTTTTTTAACATTTGGTGTTAATGAATATTTAATTCATATCTAACCAACTTATTGAAGAACGTAGCTTAAATGTTATGACATAAAAAACTTTCCTATATATCTTATTAGTAATAAACTACTTACCTATTATATATATAGGAATTGTCTCTGGACAGACACTTGGAAAGTGCCTGACTAGTCAGGTACTTATATAATCGTATATAAATTGTGTATATTTATACGTAAATCATGTATATTTACATGTAAAGTCATGTATATTTAACATGAAATACAATAAATCAGTCAGTATACATATTTTCATGCTATGTGTTCACTAATTGCTATAAAAAAAACATGTTTTGAGGATTAATATACATTGTCATTTCTTATAACTTAACATACATGATTTATATGTAAATATACACGATTTACATGTTAATATACACGATTACATAATTATACAAGTTTCATGTAAATATACACAACTTACGTGTGAATATACACAACTTACTGTAAATATACACACTTTATACAAAAATATACAAGTGCCGTTCTGGTCAGGCATTTTCCAAGTGCCTGACCAGAGACCTCGCCTATATATATATATATATATATTTATGTTAGAAACTTAATTCACGGTTTCATCATTGTTGGTGAGTGTTACAAATTCGTTGGTTACTTTAATTACCAATCATATTCAACAAAATTTATCTTTCAACTTGAAACTATTCTTATATAAATATATATATATATATATATTTTTGCTCACACTTGATGCCTGTTTTGTCTTTTTTTATCTTGCCAAGCTCGATATGCTCAAATACGTATACTTCATAGGTACTTTATTCTCACAATATGTGATGCTGGCAAATTTGATTGGTTAATTATTCCCGTTTCCTTAACATGATTATTGGTCCAGTTATAAGAAAATGTGATTATAGAATGAGATCGTCTACGTGATAATGGGGCTACTTATACACTCATCACCTTGCAGGCTCACTCCACATTGGTATTGGATTAATCATCGCCAAACTCGAAGCCACGATGTTTAAAAACTAAAGAAACGATAAGTTAGTTTAAATTGTTACACTAGTACTTCGTAATGTGTCCTTTACTAATTATCCAATATTTAATTTGCACCGCATGATATAATCATGCTTATGGTGAATATTCAAGGACTAATCATTTCATAATAAGGATGGTTATAGAAAATTGTTTTTCATAATCAATTAATCAATTACGAAGATATATTGCATGCTTTTTGCATGACGAATGTCGAGAGTGAAGATTTAGGGCATGTTCTTTTGCAGTGTAACTTGAGTGTAGTTTTTGAGTTGAATTTGAGTTATAACTTGAGTTGAAGTTGTAACTTAAGTTTGTGTTTAGTTGTGTACATTTGAGTTATAGTTTGAGATAAGAATCTTTTTTTGAGTTTGTATTTGAGTGAGTCAAAACTTAAATTTGTATTTAGATAGTATTTTAATAAAAACTCAATGGTGATGAAAAATTTTAATAGGGTATATGGGTGGGGTTTTATTTGTCTTTTTGTTGTCAACACATAGAAAAAAAAAGCATCTCAATCAGGATTAAAACGAAAAAGTTATAGCATTTTTAAGAATAAAAAAAATATTGTTCATTAATTTGAGTTCGAGTTTCTGAACTCGAGTTGAAGGGGACACTTGAACTCGAGTTTTAGTCCCAAACTCGAGTTCAAACTCGAATTCAAACTCGAGTTCAAACTTAAAAAAACATGAACTTAAATAAAGTTTAAACTCAAATTGTCTTTTTTGAGTTTTTTAGACAGTCGAACACACCCTTAATTTCTAAGTACGTAGCATGATAAAATCTACGAAGAATCTCGACTTGCTTTGCAAGAAAATTTTGTTTCCAAATTAATTAAAGACTATTATCTAGTTGAAGTATGATTCGCAAAATAATAATGTAATAATTCTTAAATAATAATGTTTCGTGTGTTGGTTATAGCTAATCGCTAGCTAATTAATCGGTATTTAAGAAACTTACATGCCAAATTAAGGTTTATGGCTAGGGGGCGAGCAGTCTATTGCACGTGATGATATTTTTTCTCGATCGGTCTGTTTTCATGCAACGTTTCTTTCCAAATTTAAACTTTTCTACACTAATAATCTAGCTTTAGTAAATAGCTACAATAATAATATTCATTATACTTTGTAAGAAATTATCATCTTTTCTTTTCACATATGAATAATTAATTAATGCGTTACATTGAAAGATAAGCATGTATAATTATCAAATCCATGTTCGAAGTTCAAAAAAAAAAAAAATCCACGATATCCCTAACAAAAATATAATCAAATCCATGGATCTCGATCTATAGTACTTCTTCTTAGGTAATTAACATTATTTAGAGAAAACATGACAAAGCTGTTCAAATTAATAGAAAACACCACAGTATTTAAAACTAATTAAAGTGATCTAGCAATGAAAGTTACAAATGTTAAAACACTTAAGGCCTTGTTCACTTCGCGGATTCGAGTTTTTAATTCAAATTGAGATGTGACATTTTCTGAGAGTTTTTCACTATAACAGAAAAAATTAGATGTGACATTTTTTAAGAGCTTTTTACTGTAAAAACTTAGAATTAAAAACTCAAATCGATAAAATGAACGAGGTCTTAGTTAATTCCATCGATAATGTTATAGCTATTAATCCAGAAAGCTGAATGTGATATATATTCAATGATTCTTTATTTGGTACTTTTGCTATATCATGCAGTAACAAAAATCGTACGTAATTATTGAGAAATGTATATCCGTACAAATATCACTCTTTTCAGAGTTACAATATGCTTCCTCGTCTTTCATTTATGAACACTTAATCATCGGCTATATATTTTGAATTTGTAGAGTGCAGTTGACACTTGCTTTATTTGGGATTTAATTTGATATGAGTATATATTTAAAAGTAAAAATTCAGCGTATAATCAAAACATTTAGGAAAAAAGTTATGAAGGACGAGTGTAAAGGTTAAAATGTAGAAATAATAAAAACTTTGAAAAAAAACCCTACATAAAACTGCAAATATAGAAAATGTGAAGGGAGGGAATAAATTAAGAGATAAATTGTAAGAAAAAAATGTTTTGGGGGAAAAAATTTCAGGAGAGCCTTTTAATGAGGGCTTACGACATAAGTCCCGTCCATTTCACCGATTCGAGTTTTGTTACAGTAAAAGATTTTCAGAAACAATCACATTTAATTTTTTTATTACAGTAAAAAATTCTTACATAAAATCACGTCTTAATTCAAATTAAAAACTTAAATTAATGAACTAAACGAGCTCATAACTAGTCCATTGAGCCTGAGCCTAACCCAATTGCTTACGTGCCATGCACTAGCTGTATTGCACGCCTTTAATAATCCTCGCATGATTTATTATCTTTCATTTGCCTTTTTTTTTTCCTTGATGTTTTAATTTTTGGTACTTGTCGTAGTTTTCTCTTTGTAACAAAAAAAGTTACACGCCCTTGCAAAACGTCAAGTTAAATGGTTACATCACCAAGTTAAATTTTTTTTTTTTCCCTTCATCTAAATAATCACACATATACATGTCATTTTTATTCTAATTACACATATAAATGTCATTTTTATTCTTGATATAAATCTATTGAATTTACAGACACAAATCTTTTCAGAATCTGCGATAATAAATTAGACGTGGACTAGTATATTGTTACATCATTTGATATATATAAATTTAGTAACACAATTTAGTGTCCGTAGTAGTTACTCTAAAAACCAGTAACTAAATTTAAATTAACTACGCAAATAGGAACCTCAATCTTTCTTTCTTTCTTTTTTGCTAAGGAACCGGAAACTCAAATCTTATATATAAGGCAAAGAGGAAATTTGAAAAAAAAAAAATTCCAAAAAAAAAGAAATTTGAAAACCGACATATAATACTTACAGTCCAAGTGGCGACCACATTCAAAGTCATTCACACATAGTTTTTGACGTGTAGTTTACGCTGACTTTTTTTGACCTAATCGTGTAAAGCCTACCAATAAAAAAAAAATCAATAGCCGTCTATTTAGACATCCTCCCAGTGAGTCAAACTCAACGACACAGAACCCTCACTGACAATCCCCTCCCTACAC